ATTAATAATTTAATATAGTAATATATTAAAATTCTTTAAGCTTAGGTTTTTAAGTACTTTAATTAATATATTTATATTAAGTAAAATTAGTATTTTAAGGATACTATTTTATTTTTAAATAATATTAAGCTTAGCTACCTACTTTTATACCTTTTTAATCTCTACCTTACCTAGCTTATAGAGTAGTACTTAAAAATATAATTTAATTTTATACTTAATAATAATTATCTTATAAGTATAATAACTAAGAATATAAAGTTCTTATAAGTATAAAAAAGTACTTTATTTAATATAATAATAAAAGATAAAATTAAATAGAAACTCTACTTAATTCTCTACTACTTTATACTTCTTTTACTCTTCTTCTAAATTTAATTTACTTTTATTAATTAATTACTATATTAAAGCTACTATAGTTACTATATTCTTATAAAAGTAAATAGCACTCTAATTAATTAGTCTATATAGGCTACTTCTATTAGCTAAGGAATATTAATACTAACTTCTATAATAAGATATAATATAATTTCCTAAATATAATATATAAGTGAAAAATAAGTAAATTGCTATAATTATATAATTAAGATTAGTATATTATTTAATTTTTAGATTCTCTTTATATCCTATATTTAAGGAACTGCTAATTGCTAGCTATCTAGATTTTAATTGCTGGCTACTCTATAGCTTATAGTGTATTTTAATTTTACATTAAAAATTAATTGCCGGTTACCAAATAGCAATTAACATAGACTTAGGGTGTCGGACGTGCAGGAGGGCAATATATACACCCTTATGCTATTCGGAGCCGAGCGGTTAAGTGACAAGGTGTAGATCGGCATAGCAACCACATAGTAAATTTATTGTAGACTGCAGAATCGGAGGAAGGTAGGGTTTAGCCACAATTTGAGTTATAAATAACTCTAGGGTGCGTTACTTGAAAATCACTCCCTAGCTATTTCCAGTAAACGAGGATTTGCAAGTGTACTAAACAATCAGAGCATGTTAAATTCCACTTGCAATAAAGGTGAGCAATGGCATAGTGATGTAGATAGCTCAATAGATTACTTAAACGATTAACGCCCTCTTTAGATTGCGTTGAAGGTAAATGGATTTTGCTTATCAGTTAAGTCGCGGAAAGTGTAGTCCTGTTCGTCCAGCTGATGTCTGTTCTCCTCCAAAAACCGTCTGCGCTTGCGGTTCTCCCAAATAAAATATAACAGGCTCGAGACTGAGGTGACGGTAGTCACACACAGGGCGACAACATTAGCTCGAAGACCTTGTCGGTAGGGTGGAGTTGTGTAGAGCTGGGGTCCAATAATGCCTATCGGGTAGTTTATTGTCAGATTCACGTACGATTTTAAATAGAATGACGTGGGATATACACACAGCCAACCGAGTAGAAGATGAAAATGATAGCTTGCGTGGTTACTTTCTTAGTGTGGCCAGAGATGTTAGCTGTGGTCGTGCCGAGTCCCAGAACGAAGTTGCAGGGGATCAAGCCCAGCATGACCCAAAAACTAGAGAACAGTGTAAGCCGTGTATCAATAAATCAATATGGATATGACTTCAAACAAGGCATTATCCGGGACTGAAGCGAGGTAACAAGACCACATACCCAGCCATCAGGGCCCATTTCTGCTCAGTGTCAAATACGTAGAGCATAATGGCGCCGACCAACGATATCAAATTACTGGTAATGCATAGAATCATCCGAGTGTTGGGGACCTTGCTCGCTATGACGCAAACAATGATTAACCCGATGATCTCGATACCGCCGGTTGGGGTCTGTAGCAACGACGTCTCAAGCCTGGAGAAGCCGAAGCTACGAATGACCAGACTTTGGAACTAGATAACAGTTAGCGTAGATAAACATGCCAAAACGAGCCATGCTATTTACCAGCCCGATACCGGTGAGAATATTGCCCGCGCCAGCACCGACTGCGGCAAGCCAGACCTTGGGATCAGTGAGGGCCTCAACGGCCTGTTCTTTTTTAAAAGTCTTCGACTCGATTCCGTTCTGGTCACTCCCAAGTCTGCGCACAGCAATAGCGCGTTCCCTTTCGTTCAGGAACCAGGCCGACGCAGGGTTATTGGGAAGGAAAAAGAGCAGCAACACGCCCCAAGCGAAAGATATGGAACCGCAAATAATGAAGGGGAACTTCCACAGGGAAACCGAGCTGTTGATATGTCCGACGCCGTAGGCTAGCATCGACCCCACGATAATGGCCAACGGGCTCATGGCGTACCACGCCATCAAGCGAAGGGGTTGTTCGGCGCGATTGTAGTACATGTTAGTCATGATAAAGAAGGCCGCCAGTTGGATAGACTCTGCCGCACCAAGCAAGAAGCGCAGGGCAGCAAAGCCCCCAAAGTTGGATGTGCTGGCCATCAGGAGAGTAAAGACGCCCCAGGCAATGACTTGGGAGGCAAAGTATTTGCCGACAGGGAAGCGCTGGAGGAGCAGCAGGGAAGGATATTGCCAGAAGAGGAAACCGAAGTAGAAGATGGAGCTGGCCCAAGAATACTGATCACCCACCATGGCCAGCTCTCCCCGGAGGTTGTAGATGGCGGCATAGTTGATGGTGGTTTTGTCGAGATACTGGAGGAATCCGGTTCCCATCATCATGCTAATTTGAATCAATTGTCAGCTCGGCTACCACGTGAAAAGACTGGATTGAAGGATTCTGCTCCGAGATACACGAATGTTTGATGATTACTTACGGCAACAGGTACAGATCAATCTTTCTCAGAACATGGCGCTCTTCAGCCTCGGAAATATCCAAGTTTTTGCTCTCGAGATAATAGCGACGGGCAACATCATCCGTCGCCGTGGGTTGCGCCTTGGGATCTAACCAATCGGATTTAGATGATGCATGCTTGCAAGTCCCTGGGGAAAGTGTTTTGACTCACCTTGGTTCACCTCAAGAACAGGCGTCGCCATTGCGATAGTGTTTGCCAGATCGGCAGCCTTGTTGGTTGCAACGTCGTCTCCAACATACTTCTCAGGGTCAGTTGAGGAAGCCATGTTTCTCAACGCTTTGGCTCGAGACACCAATAAATATCGGAACCAAAGATGCGGCTGACCCGAAAACACGGCGATGATAGTAGAGGATTTACAGCACGGCTAAAGCTCTCATATTTAAACCCATCTTCAAAGCTCTTCTCTATACAGGCATGAATGCGAAGTCGCTGAAGTCCAAGTCTCGACCGAGTTCTTAGTGCCCCGTATTCCCCGAGTGGGATTCCTTTCTCCCACCCCGTTCTCGCACCATCCCGGAGATAATTGAACAAATGTGCAATACTGTGCTCTTGGTCTACTTGTTTTAATGGTGCCAACCTATCGACAAAGGCTGCGTCTGCGCTAGAGCATCATTCGTTGCATTCCGTGCGATGGCGTGATTCCAATGCAGACAAATTGTTATATGATCAGTCCGGTTCATTAGTCATGATTCTATAACAAGTGGCCATACCCAGACGAATTATTATATGATCAACCCGGCTCATCAGTCATGATTCTATAGCAAGTACTACATAGTAGCAATTCGATCCTACGATTGCGACATGAGGCCCGCATCCTTAATTGATTTTGTCGGTATTCATTCCGCATTTCAGAAGCGAGGATCGAACCACCAGCAGATTTGTAGACACCGATGAGGGGAATCTGGATTAGCAGTGGCATTATTGTCCCCTGTCTCCGTCTCGCGATGTAAATTGCACCATGCCTCTCGACGATGGTCTCATCACACATCTCCATTGCAAGTCGTCTGTCCACTGAGCAGCATCAAGGCCTAGAGACATTTAATCGCTTTGGCTTAGCCATGCTCGAAAACAGGACATAATGAAACAACTACAAATAGTCAGGCAATAGGCACCTTGGTTGTGGCAGCTGGAGGACAGGTTTATGAACAGCTCACTCAAGGTAGCGCAATCAATCATCTATTCTTTACCATGACCGCGGAAGACATTGTCGAGCTCGTGGCCAAGGCGAATTCCCGTGGCCCGACCAGTGGCTTCACGGATATCGCCGACGACGCCCATGAGTTCCCGCCAGGTTTTGATACCACTTCAGCGACTATCTTCAAGCCGCTCAAGGTAGGAGATATAACCCTCCAGCATCGCGTAATCCACGCTGCTTTAGGCCGAGCCCGGAGCGCCAATGACACCGAGAGCCCCCTGGCGGCCAAGTACTTTGCACAACGGACGACCCCCGGCGCCTTGATGATATCTCAAGCCACGGGTATCTCTCCCGAGTCAGCAGCATGGCCGTGGGCAGCGGTGCTACGCAACGAGGAACAGCTGGAGGCGCTTATCAAGATCATCCAGGCTGTGCACGCCAAAGGTGGCTTTTGGTTCCAGCAGCTGTTCCATGTGGGACGCTGCACGTCGCCTGCGCTTGTCAAGCGTGCCAGACAACGCGCTGGATTGCCTGAGCCGCCTCCGTACGGCTACCTGCCGGTCTCTGCCTCAGCTGTCGCCGAATCCGGCATCAACACGCATTCAGGGGAGCCCTTTGGCGTGCCGCATGCTTTGACGGTGGACGAACTTCGCGCCCTACGTGACGATTACAAGAGGACGGCCCAGATAGCCTTCGAAGCTGGCGCCGACGGAATCGAGGTAAGCCTCCTTCTTGCTAAGGGTGAATAGATCGTGGAGTTTAATCTGTCTCTTGTGGTTCCGCATTTAGATTCTTTCCGGAAATGGCTTCCTACTCGATCAATTCCTGCACGACAACATCAACCAGCGTACTGATGAGTATGGCGGCAGTGTCGAGAACCGCAGTCGCTTCCCGTTGGAGGTTATTGATGCTGTTGCCGAGGTTACGGGCTATCAGCGTATCGGTGTTCGATTGAGCCCGTTCTCCAAGTAATTATGGCCCCTCATCGTCTGCAATCTCCTTGCATTCGCTCGAGTTCTAATCTAGTTGATTAGCTTCCACGAGACCGACGGGTCCCAGCCTGTCGAACAGGCTCTTCACATCAGTCGTGAACTCGCCCGGCGCGGCGTAGCCTACCTTCATATCGGCGAGGCACGCGTCTCACGAAACCTGGGCATCGAAGAGAACCTTGCGCGATTGATTGCCAAGGGTATTCCTCCAGAATCCCTCACGCTCGAACCGTTCCGCAGGTTGCTCGACGAGACACCGCCTTCTACCCCGGGTCACACACCGACTGCTCTCATAGGAGCTGGAGGCTACACTGCCGTCAGCGGAGTTCTCACCGTCGAGGAGGGGAAAGCAGATGCCGTGGCGTACGGTCGCCGCTTCATCTCCAACCCAGACTTGGTCCAGCGTCTGCGCCTCAGACAGCCCCTGACTCCTTACGACCGCGACACCTTCTACAGCCACGGCGCCAAGGGCTATACTTCCTATCGCAACCATAAGCCGGACTCGCAAGATTCGATAGCTGCGACCCCGGAGACGACTCTACTGGACGACGAGGGCGCTCCTCCCAATTCCTATGCGTCCACGAATGGCACCAACCGCACTGATGGAACCAACAGCACTGATAGAACCAACGGCAAGGCCAAGATCCCACGCGTTGCTATTATCGGTGCCGGTGTTAGTGGCATCTTGACCGCATCGGCCTTCCAGCGTCTTGGTGGCTTCCACTTACAAATCTATGAGAGGCGTCCAGGACCAGGCGGTGTCTGGGTCTATGACAAAAAGTCAACGTCCGTCCCCCAGTTTCCCGGAGAAGAGCCTCTGGTCGTCGATGCGCCAGTTCCACGTCCACATGTCACGTTGCCTGCCACGTTGCCCCGATTGCAGCAACAGCGCTTCACTTCGTCGCCAATATATAAGACTTTGGAGGCCAACATCCCCTACAATGTCATGTCTCAGTACACCTCCATCAAGCTCCCGCCACCCGAGCATGGCATCCACCCGTTCCTGACAGGTGAAGACATATCAACCGCTATTCGCCAGACGGCAACCGACTACAGTCATCTGATCCAATGCAGTACGACCGTCGAAGACGTGGAAAAGCGAAGCGCCGGAGGTCTCAAACTCCTTCTGCGACGAGAGAATCCCGACGGAACCGACACTTGGTACGAGGAGATCTATGATCACCTCGTCGTAGCCACCGGACACAACTCCGTGCCCAGAGTGCCCAACATCCCAGGGCTGACTACATGGAAAGGTAGCCTGCAGCATGCAACTACGTGGCGGTCTGGAGAGGACTACAGCGGTCAGCGTATCCTAGTCGTAGGTTCAAGCGAGAGTGCCATCGATATTGTACTACAGTCTCTGCCTCACGTCAAGGGCCACATTTACGTTTCGCAAAGGTCACCCCACCCACGGTATCCCACTGTTTTCAATCGACCTGGAGTCAAGATTGTTTCGACCATCGATCGTTTCACCGAGGATGAGATACACTTAAGTGATGGAACGGTAGTTCGCGACATTGATACCGTGGTCTTTGCTACGGGCTACTTCTATACCTACCCATTTCTTTCCAAAGTCCGGCCACTACAACCACAAGGGGGTCTTCGAGTCCCTGGCCTCTATCAGCACATTTTCGACATTTACAATCCGGACACCATCGCCTTTGTGGGAGTAGCGAACTTGTCGCTAACATGGCTGACCTGGGAAAAGTCGGCATTCCTTTTAGCTCTCTTCTGGGCAGGTAAGATCCGCTTGCCACCTCGAGAGGTTCAGGAAGCTTGGGAGGCATCACGCCTTGAGGACAAGGGGTCACGACTGTTCCACCTCCTGGAACTTCCCCATGAGCGTGTCATTTATTTTGATGAGTTGAATGAGTTGGCAGCCGATTACCTGCATCAGGAAGATGCGGATGACGAGCTCCTCCGCAGCTTTCCCGCTGATTGGATTGTAAATCTGCTTTCTTCGCGCTGGTGGAAGTTGAAGAAGTATGGTATATCGGAGGAAGGTCAAGATGGATTGATAGAACAGTTATAGAGTATTGCTATTGTTGATACTATTGTTGGTGTTTTTCTTTTCTTTTACTGTTGAGCTTCTAGTCTCCCCTCTGGGTATGTGTACTAAGGCACCCTAACCTCTTGATATTTAAGAACAGACTAGCCACAGCTGTCGCTCCGTGGTACTAATATCCACTCGTCCCATTCGTTGTCATGACCAGGTGCCTCATTCATGGATACGTCGGGAGCAATATTCTACGAGCATCTTTGCTTGGCAAAGACCAGCTGAAGCTGGTCATCTTGTGATCATGAGCAAGCTCCACGAACTTTTGATGGTTGGATTACTTGCATCTCTCATCTCCACGCTCATTTGGATGGAGCTCTGTAGAGGTAGGGCAGTAACCTTTTCGGCCATCACGACCAGGTTTAACATCGCCGACGTATCATGCCATGGTCAATGGAGTTCATCGCAATTTGTCTCGGCGACCTTTCATCCCAGAAATCGATATGGCTTCTAGTGACCCTTATAGCCATCTGCACAGCCTTGACAGCTGCTCTGGCTCTTGCTAGCGCTGCCGTGACGATCCCTCGGAGCTGGTTGTGGGAGGCTGGGGACACGAAATTGTGGTTCAACTCCAATGAAGACCAGATGTGGCCGCTGAACATCAACGAGCCGCATATCTTGGGCCAGGACTGAACCGTTGTCGGGGATCTGCAGTGTCCTTCATCCCACTGGCATATTCTCATTGCCTTTACGCGTACACTTCTGTGGAAAGTCGAAAAGCCCTTCGGACATAATCGTAACCTCGGCGTTCCCGGGAATAGCTCCGATGTCGTCATCAAAGTACACATCCCTTCTTCTCCTGTCACTGGACGCAATGCACTCAAAAGTTGCTCGATGCTGTCATAAGCTAAGCAACGAGGGGGCTTGTTCGCGATGTGCCCAACGCATATAGAGTTTGCACAGCCTGTCTAATGCCTCACCGACTGTCTGTGTTTTTATGCAAGGCATCAAAACACAGAAGTGGCTTGTCAACCGGAAATGTGCAACGGTCGAGATGGAGGCGGCAGTGGGTAAGGCGGTATTAACTAGCTGGATAATTATTAAGCAAGAAATAGGCAAATGACGTCTCAGCAGGTTTAAACCAGGATCAAAAGCCACACCGCTCGCGTAGGGGAAAGATCTCCTGGCGGCAGTTGGTGGCTTAGAATGTCCTAGTACCATCTTGCTAGGTTTCCTATTTCTTGGAAACCTTGGATATCAGCCAACTAAAATAATAGGCATCGGAAGATAGGCTGGTTGGGATTCGAGTGGTTACTCGTAATAGTCATAATTAGGTCGTAATCTCAATTGGAACCATCCCCGTACTTCATATTCCAGAGAGAAATTATGGTACAATAGTGCTGTCGCGACTATGGCACACCCAGATAAGCGGTGGGTGAGCGGTAATTCTTCGTCAAGGATGCCGAATTAAGCTTACTTGGCAAGTGAACTAACTTATTCCACCGGGTGGCAATCTTAGGTTTGAGACCACACTGCCACGGATGGTTTGTGGCTTTGCAGACTGCGAGAAGGCCATTTACCTGCCGAAAACGGCATAGACATTGAATACAAGCGCGAGGCGGTGCGTGATTTAAAATTGGAGGAACGTTACTAGTCAACTACAACGGGCAAAAAAGTGGTTACGAACTAAGTAAGTCGATCCCCCTCAGAGCGTATAAAGCCATTGCCAAGACCGACATTTGGCATTGATAAACCTCGACCTATAAGCACTGCCTCCTAGAGTGGCGGAGGGAGCCCGGAACGCTGGGCAGTATGGGCTAGGCTTTGAGCTAGCCGCATGGCCTGGTTCTTGATTCGTGAAAAACGAAATTACACACGCCGATCAGATGGCAATTCATTAACTATAGCGGCAAATGCCAACGCTAAGGGTAGCTGGGGCCTGGGCAAAGTCTGGGGAAAAGGGCTCTTGATGAATGCCGGAAGACTGGTTCGCAGGCGCAATGTGAGAGAGGTGCTCCAGCCTGAAGCGTGACGTGTTGCAAGCATGCGCCCCTTTAACTAGATCTAAAAGATGAGTTCATTTGAAAGGTTAATTGCCGTGGGGAAACTTCACATATAACTTGCAGATCTGGACAAACCTCAGTCTTTTAATCACTGCTCATCAACCAACATCTCTACACTCCTGCACGTAGCACAGCTCACAATGAAGATCAGCCTTTCGGTCACTTTTGCCACTCTCGCTGCTGGTGTCTCCGCTTGTGCTAGACATGACGCAGCGTCACTGGCCATCAGGAAGCGCCAGGAAGTGCATCCCAAGGCCGAATGGGCTTACGAAGCGTCTTTCAATTGGGGACGTCTCGATCCTGGTGTGTGTCCTCGCTTCTCAATATCCCAGTTCACCATTGCTAATAATTCTTCAAGAGTACTCCCTGTGTCAGACTGGAACCCAGCAGTCACCTATCCCTCTCAGCCTGAGTAATGGGCTGGCACTCAATCACCAAATCGAATTTAGCTATCCCAACGAAGTGAACGGCACCTTCTTCAACTGGGGCTACGGGCCAGCCTTTACTCTTGCCCACGAGGAGAATGTCTGGACTACCAATCCCTCCATCACCTACGACAATCAGACAGTGTACCTAGCTGGATGGCACATCCACTCTCCGGCTGACCATTCAGTTGGCGGTGACCGTTCCAAGGCCGAGATGCATTTTGTCCACGTCGACGCCGAAGGCCATGAAAAGGCTGTACTTGCCTTTCGCCTGGATCCCGGCAACAGGGACAACGCCTTCTTCAGCCAACTGCCTCCCTCAATTGGATTCAACGAGACGGAGAAGACCGAAGAGACGACACTGAACCACAATCTCGCCTTGGAGAGTGTTCTGCATTTCAACGAGTTTTGGACATATCAGGGCAGTTTGACAAGCCCGCCGTGTAGTGAGGGTATTCGCTGGTTTGTCGCTCGACAGATCTTGTTCACCGGAGTTCAGCAGATGAGAGACATCTTGGGGGCTAGCACATACAGCGCTCGAGCTGAGCAGGAGGTTTGGCTGCATCGGATTAATGAGTAGACGAGGAGCCAGACTGGCAGATGCACACATGCTCGGGGGTAAGGACAACATCGGAGAAGTGGGTGGTATTCTGTATATAGCTCGTTGGGAGCGACTGAGAGTTCTGCCCTGGAGGCTGGTAGTTACTTTCTTTATCAAGGGGCGGTCCGGACAATAGACGTTGTATTTCTAACGAAAACCGTTGTACATTAAAGAGTAGATATTCAACGGTCTAGGGCAAGTAAAGGTCTAATCTCTTCTCCATCTCCGCTTCCCTGGCTAATGCTTGCTGCTGCTGCCATTATCTAATTGCGTTTATGTCGAAAGGAAGAAAGTTGAGTAAAAAGCCAAAGTGTAAAGAAATGCGTAACCAAAACGGAACCTAAATCTAAATCTAGTTAATTGAGCCTGGGGAACGGCGAAGTGAATAGCAAGGACGTGTTCATTGCATCAAGGAATCGGGGAGGTCTAAAATATACGGTGTGTAACATGCGTTGAGAAAACCAGTTTTATTTAGTCTATCAAAGGAAGTCTATAGCATCTAATACTCTACCACTTTCAAACTTGCACACTTGTGCTTCTCACAAACTGTGCTGAGAAAAACAGTCTGACTGTCGACTTAGAGACGGCTAGAGAAGTAAGGGATATTCTTAGACTCATAGATATCCTTGTGGTCAGCTTTGATGATATCGGCACCCTGTGATTGCGTTAGTTGGGCCCTCTGAATCGAGCTATTAGGTACTAACCTTCTCGCCAATCATGTAGACAGAGTTCTGGATACGGCAGTCTGGGATGACCGGGATGACGGAAGCATCGGCAATACGGAGATTCTTAACGCCGTGGACACGGAGCCGAGAGTCAACAACACCCTGCTGGATGCTCTTGGAGAGACGGGCAGTACCACAAGGATCTGTGAAACTTGTTAGTGAATGACCCCATTCTCTTAAAGACGTGCACTTACGGAAACCAGTCTGGCTACGGTCAAGGACAGCCCTCTTCATTTCGTCATCGGAATCGAGAGGCATCTTCCAGGGGTACTCCGCAACAACGATGTCCTTGAAGCCAGCGCCCGTGGTTAGAAGATCATAGGTCCAGCGTACACCCTCACGCATTGCAAGGATATCCAGATCGTTGCCAAAGAAGTTGAGGTTGATGTTGGGCTGGACATGCGGATCAGCGCTGTTCAGGGTGACCTGGCCTTCAGAGAGGGGTCGTAGCAGGTCAACAATGACAGTTATGTAATTGCCACTTTCGGGAACTGGGTAATGCCACTGGAATGCAGAGCTGAACAGGCCGACGAAGTCAAGCTCGAAGTGAGGTTGACCAGCCGGACCGAAGGGATCAAGGCCACCGTTAGCGGCCTTGGCCTCACGGTATGCCTCGTACTTCTCCAAACGCTGGTCAATGCGAGGGAATCCAACAAGCTCAAGGAGGCCAGAGCTAATAGGACCGGTCTTGTCACGCTTGTATTGAGCAACAGCAGCCTGGTTGGCAGGGCCATTGCGAAGAATATAGTCATCAAGACCGTAGCCATCCTTAATCTGAAGGACGAAGGGAACAATGGGATGGTCCAAAAGGTGTTGGCCAACATGAGGAGAGTTGACCTTGACCTCGATACCATTCCTGGAAAGCTCAGCAGCAGGACCAACACCAGAGAGCATCAGCAACTTAGGGGTCTCAAAGACACCCTGAGATAGAATAACCTCGCGGCTGGCATAGATACTGAGTTCAGACTTAGTGGCAGGGTTGACGACAGTGACACCAAGGCAGGTGTTGGTGTCGGGGTCGATGATCAGCTGCTTGGACTCGACACCATAGAGGATGCTGACGTTGGGCTTGTTCTTCAGGTACAGGAAGCTGCCCTGGCGCTGACCGTCGTAAATCGTATCGACACAGTGGGTGAGGCCCCTCATTTCACCCTCGTAGATGTCCTCAGTCAACGCCTCACCCTTAGATACCCACGCCTGGGTGAGGGCATCGCGGAAGGGCTTCATCTCGGGCACCAAATCCGCGTGTTCAATCTGGATGGGACCGCCAGTGCCGATTTTCTTCAGATCCGTAGGATATAGCTTCTTGTCGTCATGGTAGGTAGCACACTTTCGAAGGTACTCAACGCAACCATTCCAATTCCAGTCAGAACCGCCAAATTCTTCCCAGTCGTCAAATGTTGGCTTAGAGCCAGGAATCCAGGTAAAGTAATTGGCACAAGAAGACCCGCCGAGAGCCTTGCCTCGTGTATTGGGCTTCTCGATGCGCTCATAGTCGTCACGCTTAATCATGGTCGACTTGTAAGCCCAATCGTGCTTGCTACCGCGAAGGCCGAATGCTTGGGAGGGCGTGGTGATGGCAGAGACCTGGTCAGGGTTGGGAATACCAGCCTCCACGATGAGAACACTGACGTTCCGGTTCTCAGCGAGACGTCCGGCAACCGCATTACCAGCAGTCCCGCCACCAACGACGATGAAGTCGTACTGATTTCCATTCGCAACAAATGCCATTGTTTTTAATATTTGGAGAGTTGAAAAAGTTGAAAGAGTATTGAGAAGGGAGGAAGAGTTGTTCAAGGTTGATAAACGATTGATTCTGAAAACGAACATATCATGAGCAAACTCGACAAGATATTTATTCGTCGCCATTAGTTCTTCTAACATACATTTTCGTGTCGATTTCATTGCTCCGTTCGCGATCTCAACCGTTGGATAGCCTCACCGAGCTAACTCCGAGAGTTTATTACGGCGCAAAATCATTCTTAGCAATATCGTGGATTGGCCTTCGGCAATTCGGCATCTTCAACCCTTAGCATCGTGAACGGCCCAGAATTCTTCCCAAACTGGTGGGGCAGACCGTCGGCGGTTCGGCGTCAAAACATTTTCGGTGCCGCCTACGTCATCTCAGAAAAGTAACTAACTAAGGCGCATCGCCAACCTGACTCGCCATGCTCCGCTTTAGGCACAGGGCGCGATTACAGTGTTTCTAGGTACTGTATTACATGGCTGAGGGGCTTCCGAATCATCCGTTGTCGCCGAATTGTGTGAAGCCGGGTTAACCGTCGGGACTAATTCGGTATTCAATCATTATCATTTCATAGCAGCTGAATATATTACTCTCCGTCTATGAGGCGGGACAAATTTATTGTAAATATGGGTATATAAGTATAATACGTAATGCCACAAGCTTCAGATTTGTTTTTCACACGTTCAGTACAGCTAATTGATGCCCCACACTTTACAACATCCATCCTAATTACCTCTAGCAAGAAAGAAACCATGTCAAAACCTACTTACACTCTGGCTGAAGGTGCGTTTCGTGTAATCAATCTGGTTCTAGCGTTCTTTTCTGATATGACATAAAGGCCAGCCCATTCGGGATCCTTCTGTCAGTACGACATTGCCTATTTTTGGTGCTGGTGGGATCACCACGCTAGGAGATACGCTGCTCCTCGAGACGCTCGCGCATTTCAACAGGGAACGCATCCCAGAGAGGCATGTGAAATCCTTGAGGTGTAGCTATTAACTGGAATTCTAGTTACCTAACCTTTTTCATAGAGTTGTACATGCGAAGGCAGTCGGAGCTTGGGGTGAATTCGAAGTCACCAACAAGGATATAGCCAACTTGACCTGTGCCAAGTTCTTGGACACTGTTGGAAAGAAAACGACAATCCTCTTTCGTCTCAGTACCACTGGTGGTGAGAGAGGTAGTGCTGACACCGTTCGCGATGTCAGAGGCTTTTCCGTCAAGTTCTTCACAGAAGAAGGCAACCACGACATTGTAGGCAACCACATTGTATGTATTTGTCTCGGCTTCCTCTCTACCTTGAGTTCTAACATTCACAGCCTGTGTTTTTCGTCCGTGACCCGATGCGCTTCCCTTCTTTGAATCGAAGCCATAAGAGGCATCCGGCCACTAATAGGCCAGATTGGACTATGGTGAGTTTTTTACTATCCCCTAATCTGTCCCACAGGATCTAATCCTCAGTTCTGGGATTTTCATGTGAACCAACCGGAAAGTGTACACGCCTTGATGCACCTCTTTGGCACCCGCGGTCTGCCTGATTCTATCCGTCGAGTTACGGGCTTCGGGGTCCATACCTTTAAACTGGTAGACAACAATGGCAATTTCCAGTATTGCAAGTTCCATTTTCGCCCTGAGGAGCACCCAACTCACTTTGCTTCTTCTGCGGAAGCCGAAAAGGTCGCCGGGGCTAATGCCGACTACCACCATGAGGACCTTTGGGATGCCATTGTGCGGGGCAAATACCCAGCTTGGAAGCTGTACGTCCAGGTGATGAGACCCGAACAGGCTGAGACCTTTGGTCGGGCTCTATTTGATATTACCAAAGTGTGGTCTCATAAGGACTTTCCCTTGATTGAGGTCGGCAAGATGACACTGAACAAGAACGTAAGGAAGTATTCTCGTCTAAAAATATGGATCACTGCTGACATATGAAAACCAGCCCAACAACTACTTTGCTGAAATCGAGCAAGCTGCGTTTTCCCCATCCAACATGGTCCCCGGAATAGCCATGACTCCAGATCCAAGCAAGTCTTGTTTCCCAAATGTTCAAATCCCAACTGTTTACTAACCACCTGCAGTGTTGCAAGCCCGTATGTTTGCCTACCCTGATGCCCAAAGGTATCGCCTCGGAGTAAACTACTCTCAGCTGCCTCCTAATCGACCCATTGCGCCTGTCTATGCCCCTTATGAGCGTGATGGAATCACAGTCACTACGAACTATGGTAGTGACCCGAACTACGTTCGCAGCACGCTAAGCCCTGGTGTGTCCACTAAATCCATTACTCAAATCCGACACCTCGAGCGGGTTGCATCTACTGCTACACTAGGCTTGAACGAGATTCCTGTGGACGAGGAGGACTTTGTGCAACCCCGTGAACTATGGACAAGGGTGTTTGACGAGAGGGAGAAGTCTAGCTGGATTGAAGCTATCTCCGGTACCCTACTAGACGTGCCCACTCCGTTAAGGGAGTCTGTGATAGCCATGTTCAGCAAAGTAGACCCTATTATTGGGCGACTGATGCTGGTGAAGATTAAGGAGGGGCTTTCTCATCTGTAAATGTTATTCCATAAACTTTTAGTTGAGAAAGAATTTGCTAGGCTTGCTACAATTATGCCACTCGTTATGACCACTGTTACCATTGCGAGTACTCGATGCTGCAGCCACCCTTCTCACGAGATACAGAAGGTCCCATACTTTGAAGTTCCACGGACAGACTAGCTAAACTCGCTCGCAACTGCCTCCACTAGCACCCTAATATTGTCAACTCACACGCAACTCGTTCATGTTAAACTTGAAGAAAAGGGAGTTCAGGGTCACTTGCGCGTCCGCTCCGACGGATGCACCGGGTGATACCAAATGAAACTGTTCAAGGGCAACATTGACGGCGTGTCAACCAACTCCCGTTTCAGGATCCCACACGTTGTAGACACCCTCCGTGTCAACCGGCGCGCCTCGAGATACCTTCCTGGTTCCGCAAAAATATTCGTTAGCAGGGTGTTCGTATCGAAGATTGCCACCGTGGAACCCGACCACCGCTTCTGCACGAGGAGCTGGAACGGTAAGCCGTAGTCAAAAATAGTGTTGAAACTGCTCTTGTACCGTCGCATCTCATTCTCCATCTGTAACGGGTCGCTCGCCGCCTAAGCCAGGCTTATGAAGCTCGCCTTATATAGCCGTGCCGGCTCGTGGGCGGCCAGGTTAAAGAGTACAAAGTGCCGCCCCTCCCGTCGCGTAGATACATTCTAACGCCGTCTAGACGCCCTCGGCAAGATCCGTTAGCGTTGTGCCAGCGGTATTGCCATCCGTCAACATGCCATACTCCCCCAAGTCGTTAGTCCCAACCCATATGGTGAAACTAAACCGAGCCGATTATCCGCGTTTCGCGCTCATAACCGCCGGATTGGATGTTGCGATCTTAAGGCCTTCTCTTTAACGTATGTAGAAGAAAGTCGGCGCGGGGCGGTTGACCTTGTACGCTATCTGAGAATAGCTCGGTCCCATCTTGCCCGATACGTGCCTCTCTCTTCCACGTCTCTCCACACTTCCCCGCATCGAGCTCGATTTCGGAATAGAATGAATGAATGTGGCTCTGAGACTGAGTTTCCAGAACTTCAGACATCCAACAGGTAGGCGGCCCCAGTTTTCATAAGAAGAAGTGGCACTCTCCCATTCCCCGCTAAGATCCTGTGGATTCGGCGTGTTACAAGAAATCGAAGCCGACCCGTCGATATTTTGGACCTCTTTAGTGTCTTGCATATCGCTGCCCCGCCATCTGATGACCTATATTAATATGGCAAGGTACCTCGTACATGGAAAACACGATTATTTCGTAATGAAATCATGTATCAGGTCATTTGTAGCTAGGTATCCCATTCGCAACCAGATATCTCTCACCCTATAGCGAGGCACGAAAATTCGGGTGCAATGGGCGATTCTAGCCCGCACTGATAGGTGATAATTATCCGTGTTGGGATTTCTCATCTAGATTGGAGATCTTGGCTAAACCAACGCGTTGAGCCACAAGGGGCAGAGCGAGAGCGTCCTCAAGTCTCACCAGAAAAAGGAGACGGTGTCCTTTTGTTCCACCCTCCACTCCCGCTCCGCCAGTGCTTCCAGGCATGCCCCAAGCATAACGCGCTAGCCTTTAGGTACACGCCTCACTCCAACGTCGAGAGGTCTAGAGCCTGAGATGGGGTGATACCAGGATATATGGAGACCAGCATGAGGCCCCTGTACACCGGGCCTCTTTGGACCCCTCCGTGAGCTTGTCTAGACCGCAGGTTGTATCCCGAATGCTTATCCCCGGGAAGATTGGCAAAATGTCCCGGCCTGGTCCAAGATAGAGAACGAAAGGCAGCAATCTGGCCTCGAGTCTATAAATGAGATTCGATACTGATCTGTACTTGAGAGGCTTTATCGGGAGTTTCTAACCACATTCAAATTTTCCCTGGCTTTATTAGGTGGGCCCATGCAGTTCGCTTTCGCTTTCGGGGCTTCGAAGTGCCTGTCAAGGCCGATAATGCATTGGCATCTACCCGGGACAGGCAAAGCGCATAGCGGGAGACTCGGGATGACTCAACTTCCAACCTCATGCTGCTGACAAATTGAATCTGGGTTGAGAGGACCAGTATAATAAAGATATACGCCGATGCTGAGCTGTGAAGCCGTTTCCATGTCTCCTTATCCGGCTTCGTCGCCAGAAAACAACGACTCACAAACGCTCCACACCCAAAGGTTGATGCAACCTATCTGAACTAGAAAACCATCACTGACAACATCTTATAACTTAGATTCCCATCATCATGTCTATTGAAGACCTAGAAGGCAGGCACGTCCTTGTTTCAATGACAGAAACCATTCAGGCGCCAGCAAATGAGATCTGGCCTTTCCTATCCGCCATCGGGGCGGAGAGGATTCTGATTCCCGGCTGCACTCGCTCTTCCTTGTTGGAAGGATTCGGGGAGGGTGCTCTGCGACGAATCTATTTTGGTGACACTGCATTCGACGAACGGATCCTGGAATTGAACCCAAAGACGTACAAGATGAAATACGAAGTTTGCGAGCCGAACTCGAGTCCAGCGGAAGGTACCCTGGCAGCTGTTCAGCTTCACCCCTCGGGTCCCAATGAGACTACCATCACATGGGTCGTGGGAGCCAAGGTTGTACCCGCTGAGCATGCGGAGAGCCTCCAGGCCCAGTCTGCCGTGTTCGAGAAGGGACAAATTGCGGCTTTACGAAAGTTGACTCAAATAACGCCATCAACTTGAGACTGGGACTTGGGTGGCGAGGGAGGTTCAAACTGCCTTGGGCAAGTTTGACTTTGCTCGATTAAATCTGTCGACCATCTCATTTTACAAGTGGACGATGCTTTTCGTAGCTGTGGGATCGATGACATTCGCTGGTCAGAAGAGAAGCCCTTGATGTATCGCTTGTGTTTGATGAAAGTCGTCAGTTAGCCGTCGCTACAGCAATGGTTAGACCTTCCATCATGATGACCAGGTGTTTCTCCATATGATGAACATGATAGTGATAATGCTGTATTCATCGGTGCATTCTAATTCGCCTGTGGTCATCGACGGGAACGATCGGCACTGGGTCCACAAGGAAATGTATGCCCGCGATTGCAAATCTTTCCTCCATGATGACCGGCTATCTAATCGGCTTCAACAGCTCTATCCTCAACGGCATTCGGGCTGTTCCGCACTGAGTGGAAGCTGAGTCAATACCCACCGGCTCAGGCGTGCTCAAGCCCCAGATGGTAGTTTACATAGGATTTCAGACTTCAACAACCGTATCGGGTCTTGCCTCGGCTTGTTGGTTACTATGCAAGCCATTAGTCCCATTTTCAGCCTCCCCTTCACCCCGTTTCCGTCGGATCCGCCATTTGCCTTCTGGGAGCGAGCCTTCAAAGCGGTGCTCCCGATGTTGCTATTGTTGTTGCTGGCCGCTTTTGTTGGGTTTGGAGGTGGTCTGGTTGGCGATGCCTCGGGCCCTCTGATCGCCGAGCTCGCATATCCCACTCACCGGCTAACTCCGTAGTCTCGAAATCGATTCGTAAAACGGAGGTTCTAGTCGTCTTCTAGAACGTCTACTGCATCTGCATTGCATGGCAGCTGGAAAGGCTCGGATGTGGCAACGGAATTTTCTTTGGATCACACAACCGTAAGACTTCAGATGTAGTCAACGGCCAAGAGTCACAGTTCATTCAAGAGATAACAGTTTCGATTCGCCTCTTCATTGACTAGCTGTAGACGATGACAAGAAGGGGTAAAGCCGCCCCTCTTTGCACGACAATGGCAACCGACTCTTATACACAGCAACGCCGTTTCTTTACCAGACGACATGCCCATCTACTCATCATCGTTGATATCAATCACAGTCTCCTTCCACTTGCGAGCCGGGATCTTGCGCTTGAACATAATGTCGATCTCACGGTAGGAGCGATTCTTCATCTCCGGTAGCCAGATGAACGCCATGACTGTGCAGATAAGACCAGTTGCACCCCAGACGTAGCCGCACTTGCCGCCCATGTTTCCGTACTGTTTTTATGTCAGCATCCGTCACTCTAGCAATATGGTGTCAAAGCAGTCTTACCTCGGGGTTCAGCATGTAGCTTGCCATGAAGATACAAGGAATGTTCATGATGTAATAGGAACCGCGACCGATACCAGTTGTCAGCGGCCTCAGGCGAATGGCGGAGGTTTCTCCGATGATGACCCATGACGCAGGAGCCGGGCCGAGGGTGAACAGGACGGAGACGATGAGACCAAGCGAGGCCTGGGCAAGAGAGGCAGAAGTCGACGATCCAACAGAGCCTGCGATGCCGAGAGCAATAAGGAAAACGACGTTGATGGCCGAACCCCAGACGTAGATTGTCCGGCGGCCGAGGTATGTTGTGAGGATCCAAGACAACATGACCATGACAGTTTGCAGGGCGGAAGTGATAAGACCCAAGGCGAATGCTGTGTTCGTCTTGATACCGGCCTCTATATGTTGTGTTAGTCTATGTATTTGTGTCAGGAGGACGAAGGGCACTTTACGTTTGAAGAAATAAACAGCCTGGTTGGCAATAAGGTTACCAGTGAGGTTTTGCGCCGCATATACACCACAAACAATAAGGGTGCGGTAGAGGTCAGTACCCTTAAAAAGTTCCAGTATACTGGGCTCCTTTTCGGACTTCTCAAGCTCAATAGTACGACGCATCATAGCAACAGTCTCGCTCGCGTTCTCGATGACCGATGAGCGTCCTAGCCGGCCCACCGCGTGAACTGCATCATCAAGACGCCCCTTTCGAACCAGCCACCAAGGTGATTCCGGTGCGCAGAAGATGAGGATAGCAAGAGGTGTAGGAAACATCCACTGCAGCGCAATAGGAATTCTGGGGTACAGATATAAGCAAAGCCTTGTATAGTAGAGCGGGGGGGTACAAACCTATATGCGTCCTCGGAATCATATTCATTATAGACGTAAGTAATGGCCCCTACAATAATAGCACCGATAGCCCAGAACATTTGCAGCATCTGGGTGGCGGGTGCTCTCAGCTGGATCGGCACAATCTCGCTGCAGTATGCTGGCGCATTGGCAATAAAGATACCCCATGGAATACCCTCAAGAAGCTGGGCGAGCAACATGATAGAAAGCGACTTGGCAAAGTAGAAGATGAAGATGAAGGCATTAAGCAGCATGAGACCGGAGATGGTCGCCCAACGGTATCCAATGGCGCTGGTGAGAGGGCCGGCGAGGACGACGCCAATAAGAGCGCCGAGTGGCCCGCCCACCTGGAGGGCCGACTGCCACTTGCTTTCAATAATAAATTCGGAAGGATCAGCTGGGTTTGGGATGCCGTATTGTCTTTCGAACATGGGGACTGCGATGAAGTTGCCCGCGAGGAAGACACAGTACGACTCCATAATCTTGCGACGAGGTTAGTTGCAAGTCTATGATTCGAGAGCAACTTGGACACAAAGGTGGGAGGGAGTAGCTCACGATTGTGCAGGACATGGTGAAAGCCCACAGGCTGGCCATGGGGTAAGCCCGAACAGCTTCCAGCACGCCCATTTTGAGTTCGGCGTTCTCTGCCTCAATCGCGTCGGCCTTGTAGTCGGCGGCGCGCGCCTTCTCATCGAGATCGGCGGCATGGTCGATGGGGTTGGCCCCCTCAACCTCGAGGAGGCTGCTGGGCGACTTTGACGTGACAGGTTCACTCATGTTGCCTGGTCGATACTGGAAAAGGGAAGAGTGTGAAAGAGCAATGGATCACCAGAGAGAGCCAGGAGGACGAGCGGGAGGGGGGGTGTAACCTTATAACGGTTCACGCATCTCGCATGACTGCAGCCGTTCAACCGGGTTTCGTGTCCATCGTTGAGGCGTGCGTATCATCGATCCTGGCTATACAGGGAGCTGTACAGGGAGGCGGGCAGGAGGCCTTGCCTTAGACGCGCCTATCACAGGTCCCAGCTCTCCAAGGAGGATGTCAGGAGGATATCAGGACGAACCGGCCCAATCGCATCCTGGAGCGCGAGGCTGGCCCCCAGGTTATCGCCAGCTTCCCCGTACGGAGTAACTACCCCGCAGTCACCCCGGAGCGGGTCAAGTTCTATTCAGGCGCTTCTCCGGCGGTACCTAGTCGATAGCCCCATGTAATGTTACATCCCGGTCGGCCCTCATTCCCCCGATTCCCCAGGTTTCTCGACCTTTGCCACCCCGACAGCGTCGCGCTCGAGATTGCAATGGGCCGAGAGATGAGAAGGTAGGAGGCAGGAACATGCGACGCAATCAACGTCGACGGCGCGTTGCTATTCTCATTCCATGTGGCTGCTTTATCCGTCCCTTGCTTCTGCTCTCGGGCTATTTCCCGGCCTATTCCCCGGACTGGCTGTGCTCAGAGAGCTCAAAAGACTCCTAAGCGCCAGTGGAAGGTTTGGGTTCCACTTTCACGCCATGCCATTCGTGGAAGACATTCTCCGCGTCGTACTTGCGCTGGAGCTCGCGCAGCCTTTGGACGTGGTCGCCGAAAGCGTCTTCGGGTGACATCGACTCGTGCTCCAGGTTGAGATAAAACGGTACAGGATCGCCTGGGGCTCGCTTGCCGTCGTAGCCGCAAGTGGTGGTCATATAATCAGACAACTCGCGCTTGAAGACGCGAACTTCACCATCACGAGACGCGACGTCGTACATGAGGCCCATGACGCCCAGGTAGTGCTCGCCGCCGTTGGCGAAGGCGGTTGCCTCATGCGGAGTGGCCCGAATGGCGGCCGCGGGGAAGAACTCGAAGGCGAGGATTGGTTTTGTCATGTCGTTGTGAGAGGTGATGAAGTCAAGGAACCGTCGTCGCCCGGTCTCGACAGTGATTTCGGCGTCGAGCGGCATCAGCATGCTACAGGAGCGCATCAGCTTGCGTCCCGGTCCTTCGAATATTGAGTTGAAGAGCGTATTGGTCGTTGGATATGACATCTGCCAGTCAAATTAGCAATAGGGCTGAGTCCTAGCAAGGGTGCCAAGAATTGCTCTGCCTCGGCGGCGCATATGCGAAGACGACGATGCAGTTGTGGTCAATCTCGCCCCGGTTGTGGGACTCGTTTGCGAAAGTCCACGAGTTCTGGCACCTTGTCAATGTGAATAACAGGGGCCCGCCCCAAATATCGCCTTTTGGATGTGCCCGTGATGGATGTAAATCGGATGACGATGCCGAACTAGGCTTCTGCCCCTCGCACTCCCCAAAATAGATGGGGCTTTTGGATCTCAGACATCTCGGCAATAGACCCGTCGGCTAGAATTATCTCGACTGAGACGAGGCTGTCAACAGTAAGCCCGTGACGCGCAGACAAGAAGCCATGGCCGCCGCCAAGAACCAGTCCGCCCACGCCTGTTTGGTTACTGTTTGGTTGCAAAGCCCGCCGACAGTGGCCAGTCTGTGTACAGCGAGCGCTGAGTTGATGCCCCTGAACACGCAGCCTCCCTCGTAGGTTACTGTTCGAGCTTCCGCGTCCACGCTGACTTTCCGCATGCGCGTCAGGCCCATCCACCATCCCGCCAGCCAATGATGAAGCCCCGCTGGTGAAATGTCCACCGCCGCGAGCTGTTAGTAAGATATTGTGGGCAGTCGCAAACCGGATCGCAGCTGATACCTCTTCTGCGCTGGTCACCCTTACTGCGACCGCCTGGAGATGCATATTATTAGCGCCCCTTCTGTACCCGGGGCAACTGACGTCTGATGCTTACCGCTGGCTTCTCAGAGCTGTCGCTCTATCGCTTTAGACTCTCTTGACATTTGCTGTGCTATTGCACTACCCATTTAGCAGATATTCAATATGCCGTCTTTCACTGGGTGGGTATTACTACATAACCATCCTCAATCAACAACAAGCCAAGACTAGTTTGCTACTGGCTCATCCTGCCCAACATTCTCCTTTCTCAACATTAATAACGTCAATATCAATAGGGTGTGAAATACCCGTGGGCTTTTTGCAATAGGTAACCTATGGGTATTTATTTTACTTCTATAGTATAGTCTGATAACCTATAGGTATTTATAAGTAATTTTAAAATACCTAGAGTGAGTAATAGATAAAATGAGATGGTAAATTTTAATTAAAAAGCTTAATAAAAAAATTTTAAATAGAAAAAAAATTAATATCCTATAATTCATAGGCAACTTTGGGTAATTCTTAGTATAGGGTAATTTTTCTTATCTCTACGTAGAAAGCTTATCGTATAGGTACCCATAGAGACCCATAATCCAACTCTTCAACACCTATCCCCCTAGTCGCCACGCACGACCTTCAGCGACCCTATAGGTATTATAGTAGGGTGCGGCAAGTATACCGCAGGTTAGTACGGAATCCCTGCACTCTGCCACGATACAGAGATACAGTTACACACAGTTACATCAGCCGGAAATCCCATAAAGCTCAACCTATCCATCAAATACATAGTAAAAGGCATTAATAAGAAGCTAATAATAGACTCCGCGGTTCGGACTTACATCAGTAAAGATAGTAAGATTAAGAAGGTAGAAGATCGGTAGGTCGCAAATGTGCCGGAGCGGCCTACTCAGGAGTTTCAATCTTATACTCTTAGAAGTATTCTAGTATACAGATAGCAAAGGGGGGAAGACTGGTTATAGTAGGGTATTTATATACCTACTTAGTAGTGGATATTTTAGATAAGTCTATGTCTTACTTTAATATTATATACAGAGGGAATCTCAATGAGTATCTACTAATTTCAGGCAGCTAGTGAGGTGTCTGAACGGGATGCTGATTCTATTATATATTAAATATCCGAAGAACGAAGGCGAATATATTCAAATAGAAGCCAGGAGAGAAGGTAAGAAGGAATAGTTGTAATGGATTTCTGGAAGCGAGGCAGTATTCGTGTTGGGGCGGAGAGGAGATAAGAAGGAATGTTATCGCGTCACTCCATTTGAGGACGGGGGTAAGATGGCTATATAGGTATACATCTTGTAATTGAACCCCGTAGTATGCCGCATTCTCCTTTTCGTTGCCCAATTCAGCTGGTGTATCCTTGCAAGTCTGATAACTCTGTGCCACGAGATAATCTTCACATGCGACCTTGTTTCATTCTTCGCTGGTTCTTTACATGGACCAACAATTATGAACAAGATAGCCTCGTAGAACAGTAAGGGTATCTGAGGTCTTGCAGCCCTTTATGAGACAGTCTTACATGATTTCTCTCCTGTGCTTCTATTATGGATCTAGACCGTTACAGCTTTACTACGCCGCGCTAAAACGCGGCCATTCTTAACATTTGCCTCTAGCCCAGATACAAGCGGAAAGAGTGACGCATATGTGCTTGTAGCCCATAAATATACCGGAGAGTACCGAATACATTTCATCTTACAGTAACATAACCTGACAACCGATACAGCAGATAGCATCTTATTATATCCCCGGAATAAAAGAATAGGTGCGTTACCAAACCATCATTTGCCTACCAAGCATCTTCGCCTCTTCAATAAACCATTCATATTGAGTAAATCGGGTGATTTTAGTGGAATACCTGGGAGGTTTAGGCTTCTGAGCTGGATTGGTTCCCTCACACTTGCCGTGGGTTAGTGACTTAGACGAATGATCTATTAATTGCATCGACTATCTTACTTCCTTTTAAGTTTAGCTCTCTGAGTTCACGGACGCTCTAGAGGATATTTACTAGGTAAGTGACGAGAAACTATCTGATCAGAGGCATGTGATGGGTTCTATTGTCTAACTGTCTGAATTAGAACCCGTCTGTAGGTCGTTAACTGTGGCGTGCCATTGTCCTTGACTTCCAAAATAACATGTAGCACCTGGCCACGCTTCAGTGGTCTCCATGTCTTGAATTCGACACAGGCTTTATCAGCGGATGGGAGCTGTATTTCGACCTTTGAACCTTCCGAGTTCAGAGTTTTAATCTCAACTTTTGCAGTCCATTTGTGTGCACTCCAGACATCGATACTTGGCTCGTCATATTGAAACCATTGAAATGAGAGTCTGTCACCGTCGGGATCATAAGACTTGCTGGCATCAAGTGTTAACGAGCTGCCTGCTTCAGCCTCGATCTGCAACGGCTCGGGGCTAAAGTCATCATGCAACGCCACGACAGGATGATGGTTGGCTTTGGAGAAATCATCCGTCATAGACCACTGGATTCTCGCGGCAAAATCGTTCTGGTATGAATCTCTCCAGCGCCAGATGGTCGCCTGGTTAGACTTGTACATCCTCCTATCCTTTCCCTCAACTCTATCGGCTGAATCTCCGTAATGCTTCACGCGATCACTTGGGTCCGTCTTTGCGTATCGACCACCCCAGGACCCGAAATTGGGGTGCTCGCGAGCACCGAGGCCGTTCTGGACCAGGTACAGGAAGGTTGGCGTGTCGCCCTCAAAGACGAATTCCGGATCTGGGTATGTCGCACCTAGAGGACCGATCTGGATATTGTCCTTCACCCATTGCTTGCTTATCTTAGTACCGTCCGGTCCTCCCTCGTCAAAGCTGTAATGGGCTTCCCCTGAGATGCCAGCCCAGGTTGCTAGTCCATATTGGTTCCACGCGTGGATTGACGATATGTAAAAGAGATCTGGGAATTCCGACCTGATCCACGACCCGGTGTCGTCTTGGTCTGAGATGGCATATACTCGTATTTTTGCCCTCAACGTTGCTGCGGTGGCAGGGTCAAATTCTTGCCGAATCTTGTAGAGAACCTGAGCCAACACGTTCGTACCTCCCCAGCAGAGCACCCAGAGTGGTTCTGCAAGCGGCGGAGATGCTTCGATCCTCTCTTTCAATAGCTTCCCACCTTCGCTAAGAGGTATACCGTCGCCTACTGCTTTCATGCCGTACGTCTGCGTAAGGCACATCGTTCGTTAGCTTAGATGGTTCGTCCCGCCGGCACATAAGGAGTAGTCTCACCGGAGCCCCAGGTCGAATCAAATTTCTCATTTCTTCTGCTGGCGGATATCTGAATGATGGGTGCACATGCGCATTCATATTAGTCAATGCTGCAGCATAGCCGTCGACAATCTTGTGCATGTCTTCAGGACACGTTTTGTCTTGGAGCCATATCGAGGTCGTCGGCACCAGACCCTCTGTGATGAATTGATTTGCATAGGTCAGGTATCGAACTAGAGACTCGGCATCATCTGGTTCATTTGAGATATCCGAGAGAACGAAGACCCGTGGCTTGGTTGTGAACTGCTGGAGCCTGTCTTTTGGTGAAGGCGTCATCTTGTCTTTTCAACGGCTTAACGGGTTTTCCCTACAACCAGCACATCGGCGACTCACAATTCCTTCGGCAACGAGAGCCATTTATGATGGAGACTAGCTTTAGTTGAGAGGTCTTTCATGCAACACGATTATGCCACTAGACGAGTCCGTCCTCACTTGTATGCACTCATGGCCACATATTGTTGGTGTCAAGATTAATAAGGGCAAAGATCGGCATTGGACTGTGCTAGTGGGGGTTAATATCTCTTAATTGGTACCCTGGGAGCGCTACGACATTCTTCATTCAGAGATCCACCATCCTGGAAGGCTGAACGAAAAAAAACTCATCCTCCGACCAGGGCGGGGAGCCTCCGCTTGCCAAGCGTAGCTATCGAAATGTTTCGCGGTCTGTGCAGTCTAAAGAGCAATTGAATTGAAGCTGCTAGGGTCACTGGAGCCCTGGACCGACCTTTTTAGCAGTTCCAAGTGCCGCTGCATAATGCAGTTACGACAGACAGGAGTGCTCTCGGGAATGCAAACAAGCACATGGCTCCTTTGTCTGAGATACAAAGTGCACTTGAGTCACGAGCAGGGATTCGGTCCAAACAGAGAGCACCAAATGGGTACATTCAACCCACCAAATTTATACGGTGATAGAAATTCCAGCATTTCCGTGATCTACATAGAATGACGTGGCATTCTCGGCAGCCATATCGTGACTGGACTCTCTTGGCTGGATTGCAACAGCAGCTACTCGGAATCCATAATACTGCACAAAATAAGTTGTACAGTGAATTGAGCGGGGACGATTTCACAGGTGCTTAAATTACGCTATGTACCTCTGCCTTGAAATGGGACTATATGGGGCTCGGTACTGAAGTGTACGAACCATAACCTGGCCTGATCCGCCATGCCCCCACTCGTCAGGGTGGGATTGAATCATACTTTGTCTTGCAGCCCTAGACGACGGCGATCAACCCCAGAAAGGAGGATCCCCACCAACCCCGTATAACGCGACACATTGACGGTTGGTCAATCAATACACCCGAGAATGGCAACTTTATCCCCTTAGAACTAGCCATAGCACCCCGCTTCAACGAATTTGCGGAGAAGTCTCATTTACCCCAGAGTGGAATGAGACTCCGAGCCTGAGCATTACATAAACTGTACATAGTCGCCATGACAATTCCCTCTTGCTGGAGATTCAAAGCTGCTTCATTTGACTGAAGCATATCGGGAAACAATCAAGGAACTCCTCGCAACATGGATCTCGAAAAGAAACCCTCCACAGCTGAGCAGGCTGAAAAAGTCACCAATGACAAAGAGCTAGCTCAAATCGGCAATCAAGAAGAGCACAGTATTGGGAAGCGTGAGTCTTTCCGCCGCTATCCTAAGGCGTGTGCCTGGGCACTCTTTGCTATCTGGTATGTTTTGCTCGTCAGCTTCGAGAACCAGGCATCTGGCAATATCCTCGGTATTCCGCGTTTCCGGGAAGATTTCGGATATCTTCATGATGGGAAATATGTTCTACATGCAAACTGGCAGTCAGCTTTCAGCGGTGCCCCCATGGCATCGTAAGTAGAGTCGTGATCCATTCGCGGTTTGGCTCAAATTAACAGATAAAATCAGTGCCATCATCGGTTGTTTGGGTGGAGGATACCTTGCCGACAAATTCGGGCGAAAGCCGGTCCTTATCAGCACACTTGTTGTGAGCTATGCTGCCATTACCATGGAATTTGTTGCAACGACCAATGAACTTTTTTTCGGCGGCAAGTTCCTCAACGGATTTGGCACCGGTTGTATTGCGACCGTGTGCGTGAGTTACATTGGAGAAGTGAGTCCCCTTTGTCGTTCAACGTACTTCCGGCTATGACATACTCATCTGGTAATAGATTGCCCCATTGGCCTTCCGAGGCATTTTCACCTGCTTGGTCGGCTTTTCCTATACCCTCGGACCCCTTGTCTCGGCCTTGATCGTGAAGTATACTGGCACTCTGCCCGACCGATGGGCCTACCGCTCCGTGTTCTGTGCCCAGTTTGGGTTCGCCGCTGTTGCCACTCCCTTTGTGCTCACCATGCCCGAGTCTCCCTGGTGGCTAATGTCCAAAGATCGCGCTGAGGCAGCCCTTCATAGCCTCAACCGACTTGGTTACCGCGAAGGGGAAGGACATGTTCGATTGTCGGTCATTCAGCAGACGCTGGAGAAGATCAAGGCCGAAACCGAGGGTGTCACGTATCTGGAATGCTTCCGAGCCACCAATCTGCGCCGAACTTGCATTAGCGTTGCGCCAAAGTGCATGCAGGCTTTCTCCGGTATCACGTTTGCCGCCAGCTATGCAACCTACTACATGCAGCTTGCAGGCTATAGCACCGAGAAGAGTTTCACGCTCCAGATTATTCAGCAGGTTGTCTCAATGATCGGCAGCGTCATGTCCTGGTATCTTGTTGACCGAATCGGACGGCGAAATCTGACGTTTTACGGACTTCTTAGCTTGACTGTCATTCTGTTGGTGATGGGAGGCTGTGCTACTGCCACCACGAACCCGATGGCAATTGAAGCGACAGTTGCATTCATACTGCTTTATTGCTGGATGTACAACGTGTCCATCGGTGCCGTCGCATTTACGGTTCTTGCAGAGGTATCGACTTCACGACTCCGTGCCAAGACGGTTGGTATTGGTTTGGCTGTTGTCAATGGCCTCAACATGATGTGGAGTTTTGTGCTCCCATACCTCTTCAACCCTGATAAGGCGAATCTTGGAGCCAAGGTTGCTTTTATTTTCGGCGGATGCAGCGTTCTATCTCTGGTCTATTTGTGGTTTGAGCTTCCAGAGACAGCAGGTCGAACTTATGAGGAGTTGGACGAAATGTTTATGAAGAAGATACCGGCTCGGCAGTTTAAGGCCTATAAGACGGAGACCGAGCATAGTCAAGATATTAAGGAAATCGACTAAAATGGGGCTAGAATCTAAGGTCAACCTAGTATATCAAAGAAATCTAGGTCTATAAAATAGAACGATGAAACATAAGACAGTCGAATAACAATACAATACGACCTTCCTGCGATGAGGGAACCTAATATTTGAATTTACTGCATTTTGTTTGTGCACGTCACAGATACCAAGGCTCAAGTTTGTGTTTCAAAATGCTTTTTTTTTCAATCTGCCGGAATCCTGCCTCAGCTCTTCGCCCTATTCCATCCTTGATGGTTCCTGTCTCAAGGTTGTTACTGGCAAACAGCAAGTCCATTAACTGCAGACAGGAGGGCTGAAGTCAAGAGGGTTTAAATTGAAGCTTAAGGTAAACACTAATGTGTCAGGGCTTGGTGCACTTCCAGGGGTGTGACATGTTGATCTCGTGAGGTCAGATTGTCCACAAACGTAAGCTCCCTCCCGCATGAGAGTTAAAATTGCGGTGAATGTTGCTAGGAAATAGCTACCTGTGATAAGCACGGCATGACGGGTCTGGACGACGCAGTGATACTCAAGTGCATGATACCTAGCCAACATTCGTGACAGAATAAGGGACTTCTCTCAAAGTTACTAGCTGATCTAAATGGACGCAGTATCAGCCTCCAAGTCCCTCTTTCAATCTAAAATTGCAGCGCATTGCTTCAGGCCTCATTCCTTAACCCACCGGACATGGACTATCGATGCCTAAGGTGACTTGTCGCATTCTGTCTTTACTAACTCATCAGACCAAGAGTGGAATGCACACTTTAACAGGAGGGGCCTATGAGTGGCGCGTGTAAGTAATGCATGTTATGTATCATGTCTTAGTTCTTATACATGGTTGGTAGGCTGCTTGACTGTGTGCGCAAGTTGCGGCTTCTAAAGAGGTCAAAATCGCAGTGCTGGTGTTGAGCACTCTGCAGGGCGTCGGCATGAGTACGATAGGATGCCTAATTTCAGTCGGATGCAATCTGAGGTTGAGGATATTGCAGATTAGTCCTGTGCCGAGCCAAAATTGTGTCAGACAGACTGATGTTACATTTCGGGATGTCACATTTCGGGGTCATCCTGAGACGCATGATAACCTCATTTCCGGCTTTCCTAGACAACGCAACTTTCCTCTCTTTCTCAGACCACATCGCCGGCCCTGTGACCACAATCCCGGTCCCCGGGACCCACGGGGCCCCGGCCCCTGTGCGGCGGCGACGGACTGCCGCCTCCGGCAGCAGCCGTCTTCATCATGTATAAAAGACGGGCTCTAGGCCCGTCCCTTAGCTAGAAATCAAGAGAATCTATCGTCACTAAGCTGTCTTAACCAATCCATCTTGTCTAATAAATTGCAGTGCAGTATTCCCACTGCGTCATTGCGTACCTGAACATCGCGAGGATGCATTGATATTTTGGCGTCCCGATGCCACACACCATAGCCGTGATTGCTGCCAAGAGGCCTTTCACCCTCGTTTGGAGGGAGTTTGACGTGTGGTCGCTAGCAGGAAAAATGTTGCGCGTTGTGCCATCTCCGTTACATAATTCGGATTTGAGAAGAAGAAAATGAAAGGGAGAGTGGAACCCGCTGGCCTGTTTTGCAATATCATCGAGTCCTTCTAGTATAATTTTTCTGCTTGAGAATCAGTCCCGGTAGAATGGGTAGTGCCATCGCCACTTGAAGACGCAGACTCTACTCTCACAGGGAGAGATTAATCGGAGCGCCCGATTTTGATGAAAGACGCTTCGTCTGACATAGTCGCCTTAGCGAGGAGAATGATTAACACCCGGCCGTTCGGGCTAGTGATGGCGGTAGAGATCGCTGTACCCAGTTCTGCTATTTTAGGGAAAACTGCCGATACTTGGCCATCCGAGTTATTGATAGTAATATAAGAGAGTTATCAGCCTTAATCGCTATATTATGTCAATACCTCGCCTTAAGGGCTGGTGATTATAACAGGGACTAATGAGAGTGAGTCGGCAAACGTTGACGAGGTTGTGAGGGACTTGCTAGAAGACACAGACAACTGAAGTCCAAGTTCTTCAATCTATACAGGTAGAAGGATATTGATGCTTCCATCGTTTACAAAACTACTCCTACCGAAGGAAGTATGTTGATCACTCGAAGTTGACCACAACTCAAGGCGCCTTCAAGGACTATCAATAACTCCGTTTTCAAATATTCATATGGTTTCTACCCATAAGACAGTAAAGTTTAGAAGAGAATTTAAAGTTGCAAAGTCCACCACTTGAGATTATTACATCCTAATGAAGCTCCCCCCATCAGGTGAATGACTCTCCAGCATCGCCACCAACAACAATTGCCTAATTACCTCAGTAAGATGCCGCCAGCACAAGAAGCAAGGTAAATCTTAGATGGTTTGAACAATCTCAACCACACCAAAGCCTGTCTTCTGACCCATAAAGGAGCCTTTGGCCACAATTCCACCCTCGTAGGCAATATCGGTGGCAGATCTATTCCCATACATTTCCTGCTCAGGGCGCATGGAGGAAATTGACAAGTAGTCCCCATTTGAGAACTTCAGGTCCCACTGCAGCGGATACGTGATGTTGGAGTCGGGAGAAGTCCAGGTCTTATCCTTGGATGAGTCGAAATCGATAGTAAGGATTTCCAAACCCGTCTTCGTGCGCACCGTGGCGAATCTCCAGTTACCAGGGGATGGCTCATTCGAGTCGATTGCCCAGACGCTAGCCTTAATTTCCGATTTAGGGAAGTTGAGTTCAAACCAGGTCCAGTTACCGAGAGGCGCACCGTGGGAGAATTGGCGATCGTACCAGGTAAACGAGTTGGCCGGGTCGATGGTCAAGACCTTCTCGTCCAAAGTCAACGTACCGGTGGTTCGACAACTCGGAAGCGCCCACTCAGTCGTGTTCCCCGTGCCCCAGTTCCAAGTGCCTCCGCCATTATTGACCAGTACTTGGGTTGTAGCTTCGAAAGTGAGGTTGAAGCCGAAATCAGGACGTTCCCCCCATGCCTGTATTTTGGAAACGCTATCATCCGTGAGGGCCTTGAAACCGAAGCTAGGGTAATCGATCGATAGCCTTTTGTCCGGGCCGGCAAAAGATTCAGGCGTCGGAACGTAGCCCAGATAGACCCAGAACCGAGACGGGTCCGTGATGTCGAGGATGGAATATCTCGCGGTGATGTCAGGGTCCTCAACTCCGAGGTAAGACAACAGAGCGTGCGAGACAATCAAATACTGGTGCTTGTCGGATGCGGTCAGGAAGGTGGTCGTCCAGTACGACGTCCCGAGCGCACTGGAAAACTGCGACTCAGTGAAGTTCAACAGATGTGGCATTTTGGGCTGTCTCTTAGATTAGCCTAGCTTTCCACTCCGCCGAGGGGTGATACTGACATCTGTGAACGATTTGGCATTGTCTGGCTTGATGATGAGCTTAGTAGCTTCGCAGAGAGCGGCCGAGAGCGCCAAAAGGCCGAGATGAAGCATTTTAACCATGATGGCTAAGTAGGACAATAGTATCGATGAAGGGTGCGATGGAAAAGATTGATGAGTGAAGAGTATCGCTGCCCGTTTGTTTTAGTTTCTAGAAGCAGGAAGGAGGACACTTATATAAGAGAATAGACACCGCACGCAGATACGCTAATCGATTCAACAGTCCATTCCCTCTTATGCCACTTTGATGATTTCGTGCACTCGGGGTGATGCTCAAGGCCGAAAGCCGTCGGTCGCGTTTGCCAAATCTCCCGGCCTTGGGTCCACATCGGCAAATACCTTCTCCAGCTCGCCCGCATGTGGAGAGATGCGGCTCCTCCCTGACAACCTCAGCCCACACACGCATGAACATACGCCTGGTATTGGGGGTGGAGAGGGGGCTCTGTACCCTTCCATGTATAAAATATTCTGATATGACATGAGATGACCCAGGAATCCACGATGCCGTCAAGGTTGCGTGGGCTGATTTCACAAATTGCGCGTAGCTCGGATCACTATAGGCCCCGCGCTAGCAAAGAACCGCTAGCGAATACGCCGTATTAGCTAAAGTGAACTAATAAAGTATAATTGAAATGTTGACGCAAGTTACTGGAGCACGAGCTAGCTGTTGACATGCTATCGCCGTTGAGATTTAAGTCTGTCAAGTTTGGGAATGCGGATTAAGCCTCCGTTCTGTTTGGACCCAGCGAAGTCCGGTGTCCCGGATCCATCAGCTTCCATGAAGCCAATTGGACCTGTTTACCCTAGACAGGGTTTGACAGCGAGGATGACCAGCCCCCCGCACTGACAAAGTTACCTCGGTACCTCGTGTAGTGATGGGCGACGACGCAATGCAGAAGTACCCCCCGGCTATGTTCAATACCTACCATGCAGTCGGTTGATCGTTGGGCCGGCTCTCACATGTGTCAACTTTCTATACGATCTAAGGCAAGCTATCATCATCTCCAACACATCGTTTCTGCATCATTTTGCCAGCTCTGAACCTATACCAAATCAGCCCTCCAGACATACTCTGAATACACCTTGGATCTCTTTCCCTTATCAAGCACCAACAAGTAGGAGCCATGGATTCAGAGAAAGACGAAGTGCTGTTCGAGACAACGACTGAGGGCATAACGATAATCTCAATCAACAGGCCACACAAAAGAAACGCGGTCAATCCAAGGACGGCACAGAAGCTCTACGATGCCGTATTGGCATTCGAAAACGACCCGAAGCAAAAGATTGGGATTCTGACTGGAGTCGGCGGCACCTTTTGCGCAGGCGCCGATCTGCATGAGGTTGCGCAGATGGCCAATTCCTCCGACTATAATAGTCACATGGTCCCCGTCGACGGGCGCAATATCGGACCTATGGGTCCCTCACGATTGCAAATCAGAAAACCATTCATATGTGCCGTCGCTGGATACGCGGTGGCCGGCGGCTTGGAGCTGAGCCTCCTCGGCGACTTGCGCATCATGGAAGAGGATGCCGTGTTTGGCGTCTTCTGTCGGCGCTGGGGTGTTCCATTGATCGACGGAGGCACAGTGCGCCTTCAAGCCATTATTGGCTTGGGTAGAGCTCTCGATATCATCTTGACAGGTCGCCCTGTGTACGCTCAAGAAGCACTGGCTATGGGTTTGGCAACCCGCGTCGTGCCGAAGGGGAGAGCACTTGATGAGGCTATCCGGCTCGCCAATCAGCTGCTTGCTTTCCCAGAAAACTGCATGAACTTGGATAGAAATTCTTGTTATTATAGTGCCTACAACGCGACTTCCTTTGAAGATGCAATGCGCCAAGAATACAATTCTGGTGTCAAGACAGTCGAAGCCGAGGGCATCAAGGGTGCTGCAACGTTTAGCAAAGGTGCGGGGCGTCACGGTTCTTTTGAACGCGTAAACAAGCTTTGAAGGCTACAAAAAGTCTTGGATGACCCTTCATTTGACATGATCACTTCAGCTCGATACTGATTAGCATTTCTTTTTAGTCTTCGTCAATTGAGAGAGTCCTGGTAGCTACATTCGCCCACGATTGATCGCATGTGACCGCGCATAAAATATAGAATATGGGAGTGATGACTGGCAAAAGAATGATAAAGTAGTAATCTATTAGAGCTCTTCGACTCGGTATTTGGGGTACCTTCATCGACAAGATTGGAGTCAAGCTCGGCTTGACACCAACCCACGTCAAGGATGGCCAATATCGCATGGGTCGCTTGACACAGAGTCTCTCAAAGACGATCTCTTACACCCGTCAGGCGAGCGAAGCGGACTAGTGCGTGACGCATAAGAGCGGCACCACCGCTTTGGGGAGCGGAGCTGAAGAAGACAACGCGTATCTCATTATAGTGCAGCTTCTTGACATAGGTCAGTATGGTCTCCCAAGTGGCAGGGCCACAAATGTCCTTGTAGTGCTGTAGGGTAGTCAGATAGTGCGGATCCTCGACCCAGCAGGGCTTGTAAACTCAGTTACCGTCAGATGCTGACTTCCCTCCCAAGAAGAATGAGAGGTTTCGTATCTTTGTTCGTGAGCATTTCAGCATCCCTTCCAGTTGCATTGTCCACTTTGTGCATCTGAATAGAAAACGTTCGACTGTCTCGGATGCTTGGCCACATTCGCACGTGTCCGATTCCAGTGCATCGATCTTGTGCAGAAACCTGTTTAGTCTTGCTACTCTAGTGTGGAGCTGGACTAATACATTTGATTTTTTCTTTGTCAGAAAGTTATATATAGTACGTGTATGGTTACCAGGCAGTGCCGTATCTATCTGCTTCGAGTATTTCCCGAACCTTTCTGGTAGTGGTCTTATTTGACGTTGCTTGGTTATCACTAGTCTTATCCTGGCAGACTTTGCTTGATATGGTGGCTTATATGGTCTATATCCTCTTTCGGTGGCCTTCCGGGCTGCTGCTTTTGCTTTTAGTCTCAATACAAAGTCTTCTTCCCCGACTGGAGCAGCCCACATCATCCGGAGAGAGTTGCCCTCGTTTTCAACACGCTGGATATGGTTATAGATATGCCAAATGGTCCGTTAGCTAGACTGTTGTTGCAGCCGGCGTATGAATTATTACCTCAGGGGCTATAATAGAAAGGTAAAAATGGTACTTTAATATTAAAACAATATTTTCTAACAAGAAACAGAGTGTGCAGACAGCCACCTACCATGTTATATCATCTGCTTGCTGTACTTCCACTTGTTGCACCTTCTTTATCCTAACACTCTTATCCCTCGTTATAACGTTATAAACCTTTGTACCATACTGGTTAAAGGCTTTGATAATGCCACCGCGTCTCGTGAGAGCCTTTTCTATATCGGTTAACTCAAACGGGAACCGTTCACCACTAATAGTCAACTCATTGAGGCTGAAATCAATATGGATAGATTCTCCAGTCTGTGCCTTGTCGTAAAAGCAAGGATCTGTCATAGTGAAGCCCCATAGCCCTAATGAGGGCTGGTTGCGACTGTATATGAAAGCGAATGACTCAGCAATGACACATTGGACTCCGATTCCTATCGCGACTATTAGATAGATAGGCTTCATCTTAGGGCGTAATAGTACGACATCGTTTTGTCTGCGTGAAGAAAGTGCTAACAGATGGCACGAACCTAGCAATGCCTGGACAGCCTCCTGTCGACTGGATCCGCATCCAAACGCCTTTCCAGCGACGACAACCCTGTGTCCTTCCTGGACAAGCTGTCGGAACTCGGGGTTCGTAAATTTGAGGCAGTGTCGGCCCAGCTCCTCTTCATCCTTTGACGAAAGCGCAAATTGCGCCGGGGCAAGCTTCATATCGGACATGTCAGTGTCATCCTATCCAAGGTAAAGAGAACGTCGCAACCCACCGCATCCGTATCAACAAAATCACCAAGCCTGTATATCTTGCTGTTGATGGTGGCTTTAGCAGTAGTGCCGGTGGGCTCCTCATGAACATCCCCCGCGAGGGATTCTTCTCCTGTCGTCTCGCCTGTGTCGAAAGGCGGCTCAACCCAATGTGGCTCAGGCGGAACTTGATCACCCAACGATCCTTTGCCCTTGACTTGGTCCCATTGTTCATCTGCGATACTGCTCACTAACTCTTGAGGGGAGGTTATCGTCATGCTGAAGGACGATGCTGCGACCGCAGCGGCAGATGCCAGATGGCCAATGGCACCTAGAAGTAGATGTCAGCTCTAAATTCTTGCTCTCCAGAACATGTGTCATTTATATAACCAAGTATGATCTGTTTGACCCTCATTTAATAGAAATCGATACAATTTCAAGATGACAAAACTTACCCCTGCCCATGCGGTTTTCAAAATTTCGGTTTTGACTGCTCAGCCAAACCTCACCAGGTGCTGCCATATCAGCACCCATACCCACGCAATAGCTGCACCCGGGTATGCCAATAGTGAAACCTGCATTCTCATAGACCTCAGCAAGTCCGGTCTGTCGGAGAAAGTCAGCGATGGGACGGCTCCCCGGGACCACACGTCGCTGTCCGTGGGCAACGGATTTCCAGCCTTTTTCGAGTCCAGCGCGGAGAACGAGAGCGCCTAGAACGAGGTCTTCTTCAGCTGTTGTGCATGCGCCGATGAACACGCCATCCAGCTGAGACCCAGCCATGTCGGAGATGCAGACTACGTCATCTGGGCTTGGATACCGCGCAATGGTTGTCTCGACTTGGGAGAGGTCAATGGTGTGCGAAGAGGAATATGAGCAACCTGGGTCGGCTTTGAAGAAGAAAGAATCGGACTTGTGACGGAGAGTCTTTCGAGACTGGATAAACTGCTCGCTTATACCATCAGGAGCAAATATTCCCGTTATTCCTCCAAACTCCTGCAGTAGAGTGAGAAATGGTCTTGAAGAGACGGTCAAGATGTCAGGGCTAAAATAGACCACCACGTACCGTTATCATATTGGCGATGGCAAACCGAGCATCTGCGCTCAGTCAAGCACATCCTGGGCCAGTGTACTCGACGATACGAGAACTAGCAACGGTATTGCGCTTGAGCACCTTGAGTATATGAAGAATGATGTCCTTACCGCCAATCCCTCGTCGAGCTTTGGAGACGAGTCGAATCTCGACAACCTCTGGCACCTTGAACCAAATTTCACCCGTCACCAACGCCATGGTAACCTCGGCGGCACCCAGGCCAATGGCCAAGCATCCATCTGCGCCGGCGCTGCACGTGTGTGAGTCCGAGCCGATGACGAGCTGGCCGGGCTGTACCCGCTCGCGGTGGAACTCTGTGTGCATGATGGTGTAGTTGCTGCCTTGGAACTGCGTCAACTTGAACTTTTTTCGGGCCATGTCCATCTCGTCAACTAGCTCTCGCACCAGGGGCTTGTCCATTAGGCGAGGGTCGACGACGTGGTCACCAGCCAGCCAGAAGCGGTCGTTACGGAAGATGCCTGGATCTCCCATTTTCTGATATACCTTGAGCATATTCTACGTTTTGTTAATTTCAATAGTCGTTTGTACGTCAGTGTTGGACTTACGTGCCAGCTGGCCTCGCTAGACAGAACCCAGTCCACGGAGACGAGGATTGCTTCGCCAGGACGCACCCAGCCCTTCTGCGACACATCGTGAAAAGCAAAGATCTTTTCCGTCACATTCATAAGGGGACGGTCGATGGGTTTGACTGCAAGAGGAGCCAGGGGTTTACGTGATCGGTCAGCTGAATTGAGCGACTCAAGCCCTTGTTGTCGCACCAGTACTTGTCAAGAGAGAAGCAAAGAAATGCATTCGCTTGACTTACATGCAGAGGCCAGTAAGAGCAGTTCACCCTCATCAGCCGGAGAATCTCGATCCGCTGACATACCCATACCGCCATAGTCTGGAGAGGCTGTCGCGATGCGGAGAACTTCTCTCAGTACGCCAGCCTCCCTCTCGAAGCCATCTTGGCTTATATGCTCTGCAACTACAGACAAGACTTTGAGCGGCAACTGATAGGATTAGATACTGGCGGATCGGTATTAGTTTAGACGTAATCCAAGGTACCTATGACAACCTACCTAGCAATTTATCGCTAAACTGCAGGTGACGAATCGTCCTCAGAAGCACAAGTAACTGAGCCGTAAAGCCACTGGCGGCCATCGTAGAAGTCCGAAGTTGTGGTGTGATGGCAAAGGTAGCGCCTGGTTCGTTGACGATCTGAAGGACGTGACAAGGCGTTTAGATTGGCTTGACAAGGACTACAAGATCAGGCAATCCTCCAATAGCCAACTATTTAAGTCGATCCAGGTCTAGACCAGCCTAATTCTAGCACCTTGCGAACCTTGGCACTCGGCTTTGGTGGCTTCTTCCCCGCATACTATGCCCATTCCGTGGCGCCGGCCTGCGTGTATAAAGATGGGGAAAGCCCCGCTGCGAATATTCCGAAATTTCCGAAGACTTCTTCCTTTCATCTCTCTTCTCGATCATGTCTCTCCTCGACCGCAGATCAAGCGCCGGTGAACCGTCAGACCCGAAAATCCCGGACCTTGGCCTCGGTGTACGGGCGTACAAGGCTTGCGCTGCATGCCGGTCGCGAAAAGTCCGATGTATCGTTGAGGATAGAGCGGCTGGTGCAAGTTGTGTCCAGTGTCTGAAGTAAGGCCCCCGGTCAGTACTGTTTGGCTCTTGCTGACTGTCAGCTTTAGAGATAGCCGAGACTGTGTCTTTGGTGCCAAGAAACGCTCCTACGATACGAGTGCTCGAACGAGAAAAGCTCAGGAGAAGCGAGCCCGGCTTCAAGTCCCAGAAACAGCTCCAACGGCCGAGAATCTGGTTCGTGCCACCCTACCCCCTCCTTGATTCGTATGTGACGTTGACTTTTCAACCCTCAAGGCTCATGAACATTTCAATGTTCGAAGCTCTGCAGATGCGCTCTTGTTCCTGTCGGACGCCGCTGCGAGACATGGCGATGACGCTGAACCGCCCAGAGGCCACGGCGAGCCGGCCCAACAGCACTCAGTCGCCTCAGTCGCTTCCGATAATAGACATGAGAGTGGAATACCGGTGTTAGTTGACATGGAACAGGAGCAGACCATGCTAGAACCACCGGTCTCACCATGTGAAAACCCCGATATCCAAGATAAAATAGCAACCTTCCGCTGCCACCTATTCTGGGAGAATATTGTTACTCCCAACGAAGCATTGGCCTACATTTGCTTCTTCTTCAGAGATCTCTATCCCTTCTTCCCCTTCATACCAGACGCCTACTACACATGCCTTACTGGATCTAACCCCGACCTACAGGTAATGCGCTCTCTATTCGAGGAGGATGACATACTTCTAGGATGTCTCATCACTGTTTCTAGCCGCTACTATCACCTGCCCAAGCATACCGTCGGCGGATACGAGAGAAGCTGCGAGGTCCACAATACCAGTTGGTTGTGGACAAAACGTCAGGTGGCCAGGGTAGTCTTTGAGGGGGTCAGGCCAAAGTCCCCTCTGTCAGTTGTCGAGACTCTATTGATGCTGGCTGAGTGGCTACCGAAGCCTATACACGCCTTTGTCGAGAACAACAACACGCAGGGCAGTCGGTGCGCATCATATGGTCAACGGGCCGGCGAGTTAATCCTCCAGCCTGCGTTCCGTACAGACCAGGTTTCTTGGTGAATCCTCCACTCGATGCTAATGGGATCCTGGCTTACACCGCTCTCCCAGGTCCTACGTGGGTAATGCGTTCCTTCTTCTGCGATCCCTACCCCCAAGCCGAAGGATATGCCCTATCCTCAAGACCTCATGTCGATACCTAACCATCTTGTTCGGGTGTCTCATCATGTCCCAGTCACTTGCTCGTCGCTTAGGTCGCCCGGCCTTGATGAGCTTCGACGACGTAGACCTCACTCAGGTCAGCCAGGCTTTCCACGATCGCAACATCAGACTTCACGGACCACAAAACGGCCACGAGGCTATACCAAATCTGAGCCTCGGTGTCTCGGATCAGTTTCACAGCGCTTTTGTTGGGCTCATGAAGCTTCTAGCCCACACCCAGGATGTCCTACACCCACCGACAGGAGATGGCATTGTTGAGCCAAAAGCGGAAGCTTTACAGACAAGCCAACGCCTGTTGGCACTATTGCAGCACTTTGACATGATGAATCAAAACTGGAAGACGCAGTATGCCAGTCTATGGGACTGTAAGAGACCTTACATTCCAGCTCGCCTTCCCCCATGATCTGAACTGTCCTAGCAAGCGCCCCTGGCATGTCCGAGTTTTCAAGGGCCATGCTAAAGATTGACTTTGAGTATCTCCGCCTCTACGAGTTCTCTATGAGCCTGGGCACGTATCTTAAGCTCGCAGAAGGAGGAAAAGACACGACATCTCTTTCCGGTCGAAGCTCCATCGAGCAGCAAGACAACGACTGGGAATTCCCACCAACGTCCCTTGCGTACTACATAGAGCAGGCCATCGACGCAGCAGGATTGCTTCTTCGTTTGATGCTACATTTCCACTCACCAATGGGCAAGAACACCCTGCGATACGCCAGTTCTAGGCATTACATGAAGATTGTATTTGCTTCTGTTTTTCTGATCCAGGTAAGAAGCTGTCGCTGATATGATAAAGAGTCTCTTGTATCGACACAACCCAGGTCCTTAGATCCGGGATTCCGAGCATATCCTATCAAACGGCTTTGATTGCCACACTTAGGGATACTGTAGCTGTTCTCGAAAGGTGCAGCATAGATGCCGCGCACCCAGCGCTCCGATACGCTATTCTACTTCGAGGTCTAATGATGGACCTCGAGCCATCGAGGTCGCCTGAAGCATCTTCTTTGATCTCTCTTACAATTGGCTCGAGAGTGTCTCGGAGTATGATACCAGACGAATTCAACTGGAACGGGTCATATCCACTTGACAACACTGCGAACACCATCTCCAACCAAACGTACCAACTTCTCTCTCCTTCAGTCCCAGGCTCTGCTAATGAGACTCACAGTGGAACCCAGACGGATTTCCCCAATAGCATTCCCTTATCAAGTGCGGGAGTTTCCCAGTGGCTATCCTCGACCGGGTATAATGAAGGCAACCAGTGGACTGGATTTGATAGCTCGATTATCGAGTGGGAGGATTCTATGGCGCAGTTGGATACCGATACGTTCCTTCAGTCACTCATGGGAGTTGGTATCTTCCCCACGATATAGTTTTATGTAATGATTGGAGTTGTTAGAATGGGTCAATCCAATGGCTGCCATATCAACTTCTAGATAGCTGTGGGGCAGGAGCAGTGACTAGATATGCCATGCCCGGTGTCACGGACCTGTGTGTACTGAGACCCAGTGTCATAAATCAGATCAGAAGAATTCAGAAGTTGAGAGGAAAGGGAGCCTTAATCGTCCGACTTTCACAGATGTGCAGCAACACCAAGCTGGAGGGCCAAAACTGAAGAGAGTGAGCGACGAAAGAAACCCGACCACGTAGTACAAAAGGCATCCAAGTATTCTGAATATTGCTGGTATCTTGTGAGCACCTTCTACCTCTATCAAATCTATTCCGTCGATGCACCATTGACGCCATTGGCCCTGGCCTCCAAGCCAGCTTTCCTCGCCTTGGCCCGCGCGTTGACGATTGCGATCTGGTTCCGCAAGCGCCAAGGAATATCCATGACGTCCATGTGCACCTCAAGCAGCTGAATGTTCTTGGGAGATTGATACTCTGAGAGTGAAAAGACCTTGTCCAGCTCCTCCTTTGTTACGACCTCACGGCTTGACTGTTCTGCATTCGCTGCGCCGAAAAAGGTAAGCAAAGACTGGTGACGCCAGGATGCGATGTCGTTATAGCCAGCCTGAGGACCGTGGATGGCTCGTTCGATTGTATAGCCCTTGTTGTTTATGACGATGCTGGCCACTAGTTAGTCATGTCGTTGAAGGGTTAAGATATACACGTGCAGTAGAGGGTTCAATCCTAGACGAATCATTGTCCCGACTTCCTGCACAGTCAATTGCAAGCTACCATCGCCAACGACGAGAATGGTTCGTCCACCCTTGACGACAGTCTCTGCTTGCAACTCCCTCTGAGCGATCGCGACGCCTAGACACGATCCTACTGAATACCCAATACTGCCGTAATAGACCTGTGTCACATACTTGACACCAGCTGGAAATGTGGCATCGGGGAATCCGAACTGGGCCGTGCCAGACTCTGCGACGAGAATGTCCCCGGGCCGAGTAAGCTCACCGAGACGCTTCCAGATCCACGATTGAACAATGCTCTTAGAATCCGCGTCTTCTGGTACTAGTTGACTCGGGAGGACTGGTAATGTGGACGATGGAAGCTTGATGGTTCCCAATCCGCTCAATAACTTCTGAAGGACTAGGGTCGATGAGAATATCGCGAGAAAAGAATGAGGGCTGGACGTGACGTACATGGCTTGAGGTACACTTGATTGTATGTGGTGCCAAAGACCTGCTGATATAAGTCTCCTGATTCCCGTCCGCGTAGCATCATCAACTTACTGTGCAACTGTCAGGCTCCACGAGAATCACCTGATCAGGTCGAATCTCTCTTGTGTGTCCACCCGTGTTGCTGTCGGCGAGAAGCGGTCCAAGATTCAGGATGCAGTCGCTTTGTTCCACAGCAGCTTTCACTCCGGGGTAAGAGACTTCACCGTTGTATACGCCGCAGTATCTCGGATGTGTCTCTTCGATTATCGTCTTCCCCATCGAAGTCGAGAAAATGGGAAAGCCGAGGCGATCAGCCAATGTTCTAGCTTCTTGTACGGCACTATGACGATTTGTGAGGCAGTCGACTAACAAGAGGGGATTCTTGGCTTTTTGGAAGGCCTTGAGAACAATAGACAGTGCTTCTGCCTCGTTGGCAAAGTCAATGGGGGGGTTAAGCTCGATGTGTGATCGAAGAGGTGAGGCATCGATGGGCACATGAACAAAATCCATGGGAACAAACAAGTAGACTGGAAGCGAACGCAAAAGGCATTCCCTGATGACTCTCTGCCGGTGTGGTTAGCCCTGTTAGCCAAGTTATGTGTCTATCAAAGGCCAACTCACATCAATGTCAGCCCCAGCCGTCGCTGCATCCTCCAGCCACGCGTGAGCACATCTCACATGAGCCGAGATCTTCTCAAACACCTATCCCAGTTATCAGCAGAGGCTCACGCGAGCAAAACGTAACCTCCTACCTTGTGGTCTGGGTTCGGTCCAAGACAGTGGTGAATCATGAGACGCTTGGCCTGCACATGGGTCGCAGTTGTGCCGACGATATGAATGAGCTTGACCTGCTCAGTGTAGGCGCCAGCAACACCGTTAAGTGCACTTAGTTCTCCCACTCCCATTGTCGTCACGACTAGTTACGTTAGTGGAGCCGATGGACAGTATCACTGGAAAGCTTACCAACGCCAGGACAGCCTTTGGCCCGCGCGTAGCCATCAGCGGCATATACAGCGTTCAATTCGTTGGCATTTCCAACTGCAGGTCTCGATCAGTATCGAAGCTTCACTCCAGTGGAAGTCTACTTACCCCAGGACAATCCGTCGACTAAGTCAATGTAGTCAAGTAGCTCCAGGTTCATATCGCCTGGAACACCCATGACGCTCCCCACACCCAACTGTCGGATTCTGCCAGCATATTAGTCATGATCGTGTAGCAGGAATGAGGCATTTAGCGTACCGCGTCCATAGGTATTGAACGAGGGGGGTCTGGGATTCTGTAGCTGCAGGCATCTTGAAGGAACGATACGTCGGCAAAAGAGCTTAGTTGGTCAAGAACTTGAATTAAGACCAGGGAGTGAAACTGTCTTTTATCAAGGCTGACTAGACTACCAGAATTCACAGTTTCTTCAACTGAAGGTAGTGGCTTGAGTTTGGTTGGTTTATTATCGCAGCCGAAGCGCACGAAGTCTCCGGATAGACACGGATGCTCGGCTGTACCTGAAAATACCGAAAACGCCGGCGAGAACATTAAGTGCAAACCGAAATATCCGAACTCCCGTCCCAATTAAGCGGTGTTGTAGGATATATCTAGGACATTTCATTCCGAAATTCCGACGATATTCATTTAGATAGCTATACCTGTATCCAGCGCCCAGAAGACTTGGCTATTATCATAATCGCCCTCAGCCACTCACGACGTTTGTCTAATTTTATAATCATTTGTCAAGTACAACATCACTTATTTCATTCACCATGTCTCCCGCTCAAGTAACCAAGAACCGCAGCGCCAATGGCTCCGGGTACCCCTATCCTCTTGAACGAGGAGCTCAACGCAACGAGTCAGCCACTCGGCTTCGAAAGATGATGGTTGAAGCTCACATTGACCCAACCAAGATCGTCCAGCATCCCATCGCATGGGACGGATTGACCGCGCGTCTTGTCGAGGAAGCTGGATTCCCCATGGTCTTCCTCGGCGGCTACGCCGTCAGCGCCTCTCATGGTTTGGCCGATGCCGGATATCTTGGCTTTGCCGAGATGGTCCATCGCACTCTTGAGGTCTGCAGAGTCGTCGACGTCCCGGTCATGGTTGACGGAGACACTGGGTATGGCAACGAAGTCAACGTCAGGAGGACTGTGCAAGGCTATGCCAAGGCGGGCGCTGCAGGAATCATGATTGAAGACCAAGTCAGCCCGAAGCGTAAGAGCCTTTGTCGCTATTTTGATATGTTTTGCTGACCATAAATAGGCTGTGGCCACACCAAGGACAAAAAGGTCGTCAGCTTTGACGATGCCGTATCCAGGATTCGTGCTGCCGTGGCAGCTCGCAATGAGGGTGTTGACATTTTTATCTTGGCTAGAACTGATGCTCACATCATTTCTTACGCGGAAGCCATTCGACGAGCCAAGGCATTCTTTGCCGAAGGTGCCGATGCCGTCGCCATCGAGGCCATCACGTCAGTCGACGAGATGAAGTGCTCGCGACAAGACCTAGGTCCTCAAATCCCATCTTTCATCAACATCATCGAAGGTGGAAAGACGCCTTCCATGTCCTATGATGATCTTGCAGCGATGGGCTATTGCAGCGTCGCGTATCCTTTGACGCTGCTGGCTGCGGGCATCAAGTCCATGAGAGGGGCGCTGCAGGGGTTGCTAAGGAAGACCGAGTCGCCGGACACCATCATGCAGTTTGAGGATGTTTGCTCTGCTGTGGGCTTTCAGGAGTACTGGGATCTGGCTGAGAAACACACAAGGGTTCAGTAGTTAGTTTATTTGTCACAATTACACGCTTGCTGTTGTAGTTATTAGCACATTGCTTGACTCATTATCACCAATTTTGCCATTGCGTATTTAAATGAGACTAGGGAGTGAATGAAGATGCATCAGCCCACATGTGTTGCATAACCAGTAAAATTATTTCTAAACCTATAGTCACCTCACTGTCAACTGTCAACCGGTGAGGCCAATCTTCACCTCCAACTTCTACTTCCTAGACATATCCCTGAACACACTCGGTTCTCGAACGGAATGGAAGATTATATCCTCGGTGTCTATTAGAAACATCTCCAACTAAAACATTTCTCCCGAGCTGCGAATTTCCCGAAAATCCCGGTGGCGGCAATGGACCCACCCCCCCTTTTGACTTTACCGAATTCCCCACGATCTGCACACGCAAATCCACTCAACTGGCTTAGATCCGGGGTATCAGATGGGGTATAATCTGGGGAAGGGTTTAGGCTTCGGTTTAAAGGAGATTCGGAAATGTCATCAAATATGCGTGGCGCGTCTTTTGTTGCTCGAGAAGTAGAATAAAGAGACCTTTTCGTCTCGCCCTTTTTGCAATCTGCACTCACTCACGACTCAGCTCAACTTGAGTAGACCCCGATACCCGATACCAACATGCAAGACGCAGAAGTCAAGCTAGCCGTCTCACACTGCGAGAAGAGAGACCCCAAGAGCGCTGGAGACACTGCGATTCTCGTCCCAGAAAAGCTCTCGACACACATCAGGAGAAAGGTAAGCAGCCTCATGATACTGAAAGAAGCTCATGCTGACATGGACGCGCCAGTTTGATCGACATCTCATGCCCCTCGTATGCGTCCTCTACGTCCTATCCTACCTCGACCGTGGAAACATTGGCAATGCCAAAACGGCCGGAGCTCAAGACGATCTGGGACTCAGTGACTCTCAGGTACGAAACAAAACAGACGTGGCCATAGTTTGGGAAAAGCCTAATAACCTTTGCAGTGGGTCTGGGTCCTGAACTCGTTCTACATCTGCTACACCGTCTTCGAGTGGACCACCTTGCTGTGGAAGCTTCTCCCGGCGCATCTGTACATTTCGAGTCTCTGTCTTCTGTGAGTCTCTCCCTCCAATCTTGAAGACACCAATCAACCAACCAGCTCACTTGTATCAGTTGGGGGGTGGTCGCAACATGCACCGGCGTCGTCAAGAACATGGCCGGTCTCTGCGCATGTCGAGCTGCATTAGGAATTCTGGAAGCCGCCTTTGGTGCCGGTGCTCCCTATTATCTATCTCTCTTCTATCAACGTCGCGAACTGGGACTCCGAGTCTCAATCCTGATCGGAATGTCGCCACTTGCAAATTGCTTTGCTGCCTCGCTCGCGTACGGCATTACTCAGATTAAGGCATCTCTAGAGCCATGGAGGCTTATCCTGCTTCTTGGTACGTCAGAACCATCGTCTTTATTTTGCGTGTAACTAACCCTTGCTGTAGAGGGTGCCCCTGCTATTATTGTCGCGCCTTTCGTCTACTTCTTCCTCGCCGATTCCGCCCAGAAAGCCAGGTTCCTAAACGAAGACGAAAAGGAGGCGGCAACTGCTCGACTCGGCACAAGGGACACTACGGAAAAGACAAAGCTCAACTGGAAGCAAGTCACAGCTGGCCTCAGCGACTACCAGCCTTACGTGCATGCTCTCATCCACTTCTGCTGCAACTACTCCTTCGCCGGCCTCGCCAACTTCCTCCCAACCATCGTCCAGGCCCTCGGATACAGCAGCATCAACGCCCAAGGCCTCACCGCCCCGCCATACGCGGCGGCATTTACCCTTTGCGTCGCTGCGGCCTTCTTCTCGGACAAGTTTGGGCACCGCGGTTTCGTGATTGCTGGCTGCTCGGCCATGGCAGGCGTCGGGTACCTGATTCTTGCCATCGTCGAAGACACCAACAGGATGAACATTCGCTATCTCGGCATTTGGTTTGCCGTCATGGGCGTGTTTCCCTCGCTCACTCTCAACATTACATGGCTTCTCAACAACCAAGGCGGCGAGACAAAGCGCGGCATTGGAATCGCCGTTATCGCCATCCTGGGGCAGTGCAGCTCATTTCTCAGCAGCTCCATGTATCCCAAGAAGGACGCGTAAGTCCTATTTCCCGCTCTCCCGATAGTTATACTGACATGATTAGTCCCTTCTTTATCCGGGGTTGCTCTATTGGCTGTACTCTCACATTTATGATTACCATTCTGTCTCTTGGCTTACACTTCAAGCTCGACTATGAAAACCGCAAGAGGGACCGCGAGTTTGGATCGGTTGAGGACCACGAACAGCTGGATGTAACACTTATGGGGGACAAGCACCCCAAGTTCCGATATCTTACTTAAGCTATTCTTACTAGCGTGGTTTACTTAGGAGTAAGTTAAATCTTACTGTTAGATATTACAACCTAGGGCTAAGTATGTAGTTATATACTGGGCTAGTAGGCATAATATATATATTCTACGATTTTTACGTTATTAAATAATTAAGCTATTATCTGTATTTTTAAAACTAGTAATATAATTAAAGTTAGTAATTATATAAAGTTAATATAATAAAATAAAATATAGTAATATATAGCTTTTTTAAAGTTTAAAAAGCTAAGTAATTAATATAGTAAAGCTATTTAAGTTATTAAAATTATATAAATATAAAAAATTAATATTATTAATATTAATATAGCTTTTTATATTTATTTAGGTTTTTTTTTTTTTTTTTTTTTTTTAGCTTTACTTAATATTATTAGATAGATTAAAGCTATATAGTAATCTCAAATAGTAGGGATAAACAATAGCTTTTTATATTTATAAAGTAAAATTTATTATTAGATTTTATTAAAATAATAACTTTAATAAAATTTTAAAAATAGTAAAACTATTATTTAAAATACTATTTTAATAGAAATATAAGCTATAATAATATAAGTAATTTAATTATTATTAATATAAATAATATTAATATAATATTTACTCTATAAGTAATACTTTAACTACTCTATTAATATAAATCTATAATGTATCTACTAGTAACTAATCTTTTACTTACTTTAAATTATATCTATAGTAAATTATAAAATATAATTATTATATTAATATTTAAATTATAAATTTATATTAATAAAATAATAAAAATATTACTTATAAAGAAAATATTATATCTAGTAATAATTAAGTATAATAATATATAATAAATTAAGATAATTAAGGTAACTAAATTATATTAATAGCTCAGTAGCTATATATAGTAAATATATACTATTTAATTAGCTATATAGTTATAGTAAAGTAATAAATTATAAGAATTATCTAATAATTCTAATAATTCTTATACCTCTAAATTGCTGCAATTATCTAATAATTAAGGTGATTTATATATAATAGGGTGGACTAAGTAGGTATTCTGTCAGCGCACGTAACTGGGTCGGGGCCTAGTCTGACATGGGTCGTGACAGTTCTGCTCTCAACCTAATCGAATGACATCGCCACTGCTAACGGGAATAAATAATGAGTCGTGCTATTCTGCTGGTAGACAGTAAAACTTAATGCCATATTCGGTGTTTACAATACAAGCTTATATATTCGCTCAACATCCTCGCCATCGATGCAGTTGATGTGACCCCTTATAACCGAGCTAACTGCTTCTTCAATATCGACATCACCCTGGAAAAGATCGAACCATCCACTAGTATCATCCCTCGACAGCAAACTTAACGCCACAGCTGCAACATCCTCGCGCGATACTTGTCCTACCGCCTTCGATTTCCCCAGATGAACTTTGCCAGTTCCCTTGGAATTGATTAACCAAGTAGGTCGGAGGCTGATGGCCTGAAAAGGTGGACCACCTCGGCGTGCCCGTGCGTTGGCTAAAGCAACTAGGTATTCGTCTGCCTCAAGCTTCGCCTGCCATATATCGGGATATGAGGACTTCTCTGCTACCCAGTCTCGGTATTCTTTATCTGACCACCACGGGGCTCTGGCCCTGCGCGATGCAGGAAAAGAAATGAAAAGGAATTTGCCGATAGAGTCGGCATTTGTAGATGCATCCATGAAGCTCCTTGAAGCGTCCCGATCCACGGCAAAGGGATTATTTATAGATCCTGATGTGGGTTAGTAAGCCATGGTGAAAAGCTCAAAATGCGGATTTTAAGATTCGATGCCAACCTGCGACAAATACGACCATGTCGGGCCTCGCCTGCTCAATTATGGCGCGAGCGCCTTTCGCACCCTTCAATTTCTCCAAATCTTGAATCAAAACTTCGACTTTGCCCTTCTGACCGTCGCCCAGTCTAAGGATTTGACTTCTTTGAGCGGGATCTCGAATTACGCTGATAACATCCCATGATTTGGCAACCATACGCAAGGTTATAAGGCGTGAGAGGCTCGCACTGCCACCTAGCAGTAGAACCCGGGGTGTAGGCATGATCGAGAGAGTAACAGAACTTGACGGAGGAAGGGGTCATTTACTTGTCGGGGATAGATGCAAATTCAAAGGTGCAGATTCTTAAGGTAAGTGTCCCTGAGTTGATCTAAGTAGCGATGGATGGTATTGGATGAAGATAGGGATCGGTCAATTTGATGATCCGATACGCACGAAGCCTGATGTCCTGGCCAACTAGCGCAGATGGACTGATTGAGAGCGGTGGTGGGTAAGCCATGTACATGAGCTCCACTGCATCCCCTCGCCATGAACCAGCTCTCAGATCGGGTTTTTGCGCTAAATCCCTCGAACCCGTCATTCCGCTTGCCGACGCGGTCCGAATTTCCGCTCTGGCCAAGATGAACAGGCTGGCGAATGTCCGGGAACCCGACGATGACTGAACGGGCGGTCTAGCTTGTCCTTCTTGTCCAGATATCCCTTTGAGTGTCGTAAGACGACACCTAAGTCCCGGGACCCACACAATCCCAGCTGGGAGCAATTGACACAGAACAACCTGTGGCAAGTGCAATTACAGTGTGATTCTGAGCTATCCGATGTAGATCTTGGTAGCGCTGGCGATCGCTAGAACTTCTACTACCACCTGTTTTTGGGGAGCCCAGTTGTACCTCTTGTATTGTGTCCTCTAACTGGTGGAATCCCTGGCTCGTGACTTAAGTGTCGCCTTACGACACTCAAAGAGCTATGTGCACTGTCCTTCAATCCCCTCGCTCCTCGGGCACCTCCTTAGCGTTTCCACTTATGCAACTGGATTATGCGCTATCCCTGTAACCTCCAGCTTGGTGTGGTCAACAGACTAATGCAATTGGATTACTGTACACTAACTTTAATTACTAGCCTGGCATTGGCTTAAGTTGTCTCTTGACTTTCCTAGTGATATATTCTAGAACTCCACCTGGGTGGAGCTCGGTCAAGTTATTTCAAGTGACGTTTCACTACAGTTTATTCTAGTGGGGCATGGTTGTGTGTTCCAATCATCGCGTGCAGGAGACAAAGTATTTGGGATTGCGCTTGAGTGTATGGCTTACGCCTGCTCGGCCCGAAAGCTGCCAAGGATTACGACGGTGATACCGGAGGTATGTTAGCTTGCCTTGAGAACAATTATATAATGAGGTCCATCCCGAAATAACGGGGAATAAAAAAGCAAGCGCAGTCATCGGCCTTACATTGCTGCTCATCATTGTCATTCTCCCGCCACCTATTCGCTCTGCACTTCCCTTGTCCCGTTATTCATTCGTGAGTGCGGGATCTATGACCTTTGTGATGTCCGCTTACGAATGAGATAAAAGGACATCGAATCTCCCTTTTCTTACTTTTCTCAACAGCAAGCTTACAGCATCCCTCTCTACAATTTCTTCAAATCCCTAACAGACAAGAAGCACCACGCCAACACAATATGTCGTCCGAAGTTGTCGTTTTGATCGGCACGGGAAGCATTGGAGTGGCCATAGGTCGCCATGCTGCTACCAATCGCACCCTGTTGCTTGCCGACTACAACGAAGCGCAACTGACGGCTACGTCCAAGATTCTATTCAACGAAGGTTACGAGGTGCATACCCAGGTGGTTGATGTCTCCAACCGGGAAGCTGTGTCTGCACTAGCTGAACGGGCTTCGTCTCTCGGCTCAGTCACTCGCCTCATCCATGCCGCCGGCGTCTCACCCAACCAAGCATCACCGGAGCAGATCGTCAACGTTGATTTGCTCGGAACCGCCTACGTTCTTGAGGCATTCGGCAAAGTCATCGGGAAAGGCGGCGCCGGTGTTGTCATTGCCAGTCAAGCTGGTCACATGGGAGGCCGACCTTCCCTTGAACTTGAGCATGATTTGGCCTATGCATCCATCGAAGATCTACAAGCCCTTCCTGCTCTTTCAGCAATTGAAAATTCCATGGCAGCTTACATACTCGCCAAACGTGCCAACGCATTGCGCGTTCAAGCGGCTGCAGTGACTTGGGCAAAACGCCATGCGCGCATAAACTGCCTCAGTCCTGGTATTATAGCAACACCGCTAGCTCGCGATGAGATGTCTGGCCCTCATGCGGATTTGTATCAGAATATGATCAAGACTTCAGCAGCCAGGCGTATGGGAACACCAGCAGAACTAGGAGAGTTCGCTGCTTTTCTGCTTGATGAAAGAGGGTCGTTCATTTCTGGATCTGACTTTCTGGTCGATGGTGGTGTTGTTGCTGCTATGCGTGCCGGAGAATTTGAGATTTAGTTGTGTTAAGTTGAATAAAATCAGTAGAAGCTACAACGATTCGTTCATGAAACTCCTTATTCAAACACCTTCTGCTTAATTATCATCATATTCTTATATACTTGGGTGAGTTGAACCGTTAAGGTGGATATTATTGTTAGTAAGAATAATATTACGGGTCCGAGAAATTTCTTCTGAGATGTGTTTTAAGCGGCAAGAATCCGTGATTTTATCTTTACTCAGGTGTCCAACTTTGTGAGCTTTATGTAGCAGCATGTATCTTTAAGGTATGTATATACACAGGAGGGGATTTTGCCTACAAGTGTAAATGCAACTATGTAAATCCAATCAAGGGACCTGTGGAGGGGGTTATAAGTTCTTCAGGGTGTTCTTCCTGCTCTTGAATGTGCTTTCTAGTTCAGGGAAGTGTGGCCACGCTAATGGCCGCGAATGATGTCGAGATCGCGGTTGAGACCATCAGGAGTCTTGAGGTCACAGTGGAAGTCGGAGCAGGACAGTTGATGCCGAAGGAGTAGAAAGCATTGGCGAATGAAGGCCCTCTTGCTTAAAGAGGCTTGTCGGTGGCCTTCAAGGTGAGGTGAAGCGTCTGCATAATGTTCTCGTGCTTGTCATTCTTAGTGTTGATGAGAATTCTGTTAGTAATCTAAGAACCCCGGTGCAACCCGTTTATCGTTCTAACCTATTAACATCTCATGTCACACTTTTACTTGATATATTTAGATGATTCGTACACAAGGGTAGGTTTCTATGTCAACAAACTAATCAGAAATTCTACTTAAAACGTCACACATGGTTCTAAGGATATCATCGCCCTCACTATCCTCGACCCAAAAGCGGGCAGAAACGAACATATTTTCAACGTCAATAACGAAGTAGGAACGAATATGCTCTTCACGTTAGCCATGACCTTAGAAATTCTGGAACTAGACAGCGAAACGACCATACTAGGGGATTTCAACCTTTATTATCCCCTTTAGTCAGAAACGCACCAATGTGCAAGCTGAGGAAAGCTAATTATATCTCCTCACAGCTCCTAGGACCCCAAAGTACTGATGGAAAGGTAGCTAATTGATGATTGACCTCATATTCGCAACCGAAGGATTGGCTTCCCGAGTGTATTAATACAAGATCGATAGTGAACTAGACTATAACTTAGACCACCTCTTAATCAAACTCCATCTTAGACATCGAAGCCAGATACCACACCTAGAAAGAGACTGTAGATAAAGATAAGCCCCATATTACTATAGCAAACTATTAAATACTAACCCTCGCGACTTGGAAACGTTGTTTTGACTGAGGACATATCTGGTTTAGATGAATTTGTCTCTTCCATTGTTGCTTCTCTCCACGCAGGCATCAACAAGCATTGTTGCAGGAGAGGAAGGTGCAGGTGCTCAATACTGTATGGAGTTGGTCTTAACTTATTTATGGATGATAAACGACCGTTTCTGGAAGACAGAATTCCAGCTTCAAAGTCATGATACTAGTCCTGATATATAACCTGACATCACGTATCCAACGGCGTAAAAAGAGCCCTTCATCTTGGCTGTCTCTCTTCAAAACCCGCTTCTTCTTATCAGCCTGTGCAGCTTGTTAATTGTATTCATCCTTCGAGACTCGAAGCCTAGCATAACCGACGCTAATTAGGCCGTATTTTGCTATAACTCCCGTCCATACTTAAAGCGCTAACTATCTCGTAGCCTTATCTTTAAGACGGTACATCTCCTGAGTCGCAGTAATACCGTTTAAAGTAAGGCTTGATATTAAAGAGACCGAAGTTAAATATAGTGCCCTTATGTGACCCGGCGATATGCCCAACATAGTATTGCCTGCTCCTGCAAGTTGGTCAAGAGAGTGTTGTTCCCGCCATTTTAAGTAACAGGCTTCTTTCCCTTAAGACGGGACCGGAGCCTGTCATACTTGACTTCCAGCCTTCGAGATGCTTCGGCTGCTCTGCAATAGAATCCATCTTGGAAAAGCTCTACCGCCACAACAGTGTATTGTTCGAGGTTCGCATCAGTGTACTGCGAAAAGTTGGGCTTTCCGGTGTCAGGGTTAATCCATTTTGACCTTGGAGATAGTTTCAGACTCGGGCTACAAGATGCAGTATTCTGATCATAAATTGATGAAGAACTCATAATGTTGTGGTGGTTTGAAGTTGTAGTGTTTTAGTGATACCCTCAATTGCAGGTTGTGTTGGATTGTGACCCTGTATTACGAAACCTCTGATAGATGGATATCCTGACCTTAGTCAGAAGGGGGGTCTGATAACCCCTCTTCCGGGCCGATCCGGATGACCGGAACAAGGAAGCATCAACATCATCATCACTGCATTGATCCTTATCCATTTGATCGAATAGTCCGTAACGGATCCAACAGGTTGTAGTAATGCGGGGTTGTAGTTGCAAATGCGTCATCATGCTAGAAAAGGAATACGCTGTTGTACATAAAAGAGTTATCACATTAAGCGTAGGTACCTGATTTTACTAGTGCACATGGCCTGTTTTATATGTACCTTTTTTTTTCTGGCCGGTCGCTAGAAAATCGGCCGGTCAACGACCCCCGTGAGGGACGAACGGGGGTTTGAGCTGAAGTGAAATGACGAGACCCCCCTAGTAGTCTCATTTGCCAGTCACAGAGAGGCTGTGTGAGGTGCCACGCACAATCCCACGTACCAAACCGCTCGTACTGGGCGAGCTCTCATTCGCTGGGTTTTCGATATCGTGACCCGCTTATCCCCCCCTACCTTGTCCTGCTTCAGATCCGGGGACTGAAATCAAATTCATCATGTTGGGTATTTAAGCAATGGCTACTCCGCCCTCGATTATTCAGTATTCAGTCAAACCAACAGATCAACCGACATCGATTCTCTTTTCTACTCGGCTCGATAATTCCCCCCGAATCCCTGCTGCCCTCCCACCGCCGACTCGATCATGGCCAGAGAGTTATATCGCTATGACCCGTCCCTTGCGGCGGCCGTCATCTTCATCATTATATTCGCGGCATCGGCACTGTTTCATTCCTGGCAGCTTGTCAGGACCAAGAACTGGTACTTTATCCCGTTCGTTGTTGGTTGTCTTGGTGAGTTCCCCCACAGCATAGCGGCAGAGGCGGCCCGTAGACATCGTCGCTAACCACGTTTGCATGTAGCCGAAGCCATAGGTTGCATTGCAAGAGCCATCGGCGCCAAAGAAAGCCCTGACTGGACTTTAGGGCCGTTCGTTATTCAGTCACTGCTGCTTCTCCTTGGACCCACCATCTACGCCGCATCCATCTACATGGTCCTCGGCCGTTTGATTCAGCTCCTGGAAGCCGATAAACATTCACTTATTCGGCCGAACTGGCTGACCAAATTTTTCCTTCTTGGAGACGTCATTTCCATCGCAGCACAAGGATTGGGTGGCTCAATGCTGGCCAGCGCGGACAACCAAAAGGAGAGAGACAAAGGCGAGACCATTATCATTATCGGCCTTGCTGTTCAGATCCTCTTTTTCGGCCTCTTCATGATTTCGACCTTGATCTTCCACCGCCGTATCAACCGAGACCCCACCCAGAGGAGCCTGGTCATCACCGTTCCCTGGAGAAGGCTTCTCGTGGTCCTCTACGTCACCAGTCTACTCATCCTCGTGCGATCCGTCTTTCGAGTGATTGAATACGTCATGGGCCACGATGGCGTGCTCCAGTCCAAAGAGGTTTTTATCTACGTATTCGATATCCTGTTGATGGCAGGAGTGGCCATCATCTTCAACGTCTTCCACCCATCCGAGGTCCTCACCGCCCCAAGAAAGGAACGAGGGAGGAGCTCGGATTCGGAGATGCAGCTGGGAGGCTACGGTCAAGTTCGCAGCGGTTGATCTTGTTGGGAGCTGACTGACACGCGCCCGAGAAGGTAAGCTCTCTGGGCGGAGCGATGGTATTGGTGGAAATCACCGACCCGACTGGTGGATTGGTATTGTTTTGCCAAGATGCGCTCGTTTAAATTAGATGAACTGCAGTCTCTTTTGTTTGTAATTGTATTCGCGGATAGAAGATATAGAGTGTTAAAGAATAGGACAAGGTTTCTTACATTGATTTGCCAAGATGTGAACGGACTTTTGATCAAACCAGGAGCGTTCTACAATGTCACCCCCTGGTCCTTGTAATCCATAATTCGCGACCATGCTCACGAGTAATCAAACGCGACCCGCAACTTGCACAACTCGGGATTAGGGGCAGCCTTTCGAGGCTTAGTGCACTCTCCTCGTACTGAGGAGCACTTGATTGGGCAGAGGTTAAGCTTAGATTGTAACAAATTGCCTGCACGATCGCGAGGCTTGGGCCGCTGAGCCACTCTCATCGTCGTCATACGCGCCCTGCATCCAGCTGCGTCGGGATCATCGGACCGCTCCATGCCTCCGCGTATCCGTCTAAATGTCCGTCTAAATAGAGCTACTTGGCTGAAGGACCTGTCTACTAATACCAGTCTGCATCTTTGCACCCATGACTCCAGCCAGAGGCTCCCCGCCTTCTACCCCCGAGTCTGCCGGCTCCAGTGCCGTGCCACCACGCGCCGAGACTGCCGGCCGAGTGCGACGCCCCCATCGCAAGTCCCGACGGGGTTGCAGGCCGTGTAAATCGAGTCGAATAAAGGTTGGTTGCCCAGCGTCGATTTCTCAGTAGCTGGTTCAAGCTTCATCAGACAACATTCAACTGAGCAATCTACTAACTTAGTGTGATATCCTGCGTAGTGCGATGAAATCCTACCAACATGTTCAAATTGCGCTAGGAAGGAGATCATATGCGACTACTTTGAGACTTTTCGCACTTCAGTCAACCAGCCCAAGCAACGCATCATGATCCCACCTCTTCGCCGGAGCTCTCCCGAAGATGCGCCTCCTCTTCCTGTCCGTCAAAAACCGTGCGAGCGAGAGCTGCCCTCACCAACAACCACATGTACTCTCTCCGAGGAAACACCGCATAGCATCTCCGCGCTTCTCGCCAACTATTGTCCTGCGCCTGTATCGGTTAACACCCCCACCGATCGACTTCTTGAACTTCGTCTCCTTTCCCACTACCAAGAAATGATCTCCCGATCGTCAAAGCCCCAAGACTCCTGGTCCATCTGGAACCTTGACATGGCCATGAAATCACCACTCGTTATGGATTCCCTTCTCGGCTTCACGGCATTCCATCTCCGGCGCCTTGGAAACCGTGACTGGGGTGTTCGCGAAGCATCGCACAGATACATGGCGCGGGCCATTCGTTCCCACAAGGAGGAATCACGGGTAGGCCTCAGCGATGCCAATGCCGCGTCACTGATTTCGTCTTGCGCCTTCATTCTGTTTCATACGAGCACAAACCAGGAGTACCTTCACTCCGTAGCTGGACCTCAGTTACCCTTGCACTGGTTTCGCCCTTGGCAGTCTGCAAAAGGGTTCTTCGGCCTCATGTGGCCGTGGTTCCAGACCATTGAAGTTGGCCGGGACATGGGATTGCGATTTGGTTTGCAGTATTATGTATCAATGGAGAATGTCTCCGATAAGTTTGATTTTTTGCTTCAAGATATGGAGCCTGAGTGCATGTTGGACCAAGAAATGATGACAGCCTACCGGCAAGCTGTCTGGCAACTTGCCTGCATCCATGGCAACCCGGAGCACCGAAAAGTACTTCGATTCCCGGCCTTGGTTACGCCGCGATTCGTCGAGTTGCTAGAAGCCCAGGATCCGAGAACCCTGGCCATCGTTGGTTACTTCTTCATGTTGGTCAAACTCGCCACTGCGCTGTGGTGGGTTGATGGAGCAGCGGAGCGGGAGTTTGCTGCCGTCATGGAGTTTCTGCCCAAGGACTGGTGGCCGGTAATGGATTGGGCAGTCCGGGTGTTTGGATCGACTTCGAATCGAGTATCAGTGGCTCAAAAGGAGTTGGCTTTCGGCGACATATCAGATACGGAATACCCAGATTGGCGAGCCCACCAGATTTCCCAGGCTAGATCGTAGATTACGATGAATAAATAGACCTTTACGCTGGCGATCGGGATGCCGATCAAACATGCCCGCTGCAACGCCGAACTGAGACCTGACTACTAGAGCTCACACATGTTGGGGTTCTGTGAGTGGTTTAAATATCCTCGTCGATGGATTTTGCAACAAGGACCTTCAGTAATGCGAGGCCGGAGACAGGTTTTGAGTAGCCTGGCCAATTAAAGGAGCTCCAAAGGATCGAACCCTGCTGCATGGTCTATTTTGGGCAAGCAGTGAGTGCAAAAATCAATATTACCCACCCCGACACCTCAGGTCGCCTCGTTGGTTGCAAGGTTGCCGTAGCTGCGGTTAGTGGAAGCGAGCTTTGCGGTGGCGAGGACGTGGAAGAGCTGTCGCGTAACCTGGTTGGTGGAAGCAAATAGATGACGGACGGCAACAAGAAAAAGGCCGAGACTGATGGCAATGGTTTCTCGCAGCATTGCTACAGGAGAGAATGCAGCTGGTACTACCACTCCATACAAATGTACTTGTGATTATTAAAGCTTAACCGTTAAGGCAACAAGCCAGCATCTAACAATGACGATCTAACACTCGGCGGCCGGGCTATACCTGTAAGCCAGGCGAAAGTATCGTAATATTTAGTACCTATTGTCTAAAAGGACTCGTCGGAGAAGGTGCAGATAAACACAAGCGGACGGCTTGTCGGTTCAAAGCGCCTTGGAAGATCGTCGAGGACACCGGATTCACGGAGGACGGCCTACCCAAGATCCGGCAGAACTACCCGCTTGTCAACCGGTATAACAAAGCAATGGCAGTCGGCCTCCGCTACAACCACGATATCTCGATGATCTTGACGAGAACCAAGGGACTCGCCATGGTATATTACATCCCGAACTACGCCACCAAATTGGACACGCCCATATGGAAACGCCTTGTCCTCGCCGCTAACGTTCTACTCAAGAATTATCCGAAGGGGGCTTCTTAATGGGATCTAAAAACCCTATACAAAGCTTAAAATACGCTAGCGAGGAAAGCCTTGGTTGTGGCGAAGAGCTGTGGATAGCAACTCCGAGATTGTACTTCATGTTGACATCTCGGCGGGTGCTAGATGTCCATTTTATTGTGTTATCACTGCGTATAATTGCAAAGGTAAGAGACTGACGCCTGCCCATTCTTTTAGATCAATAACGAATTGTGACCCAAAATTCTCAGGCACGCGGCGACATCCCAGGTATCGGCTGCTAGATCCTCTCGAGCCCAGACAGCCTGAATGATCTGCATTGTCTCTCTAACAGTCCCAAGATTTCCAAGAGCCCCAAGAAAAGAGAATCTTTCTTGGATAATCGACCGTTTCTCTTCGGGTGCTAGACAACCAACAATACAAAGCGGCCAGAGGAGTGAACGTAACCAGCTTGGCGAGGACACCTCCTGCAAAAGCTCAATACAGTTGGAAACGCTGTGTTGAATCTCAAGCTTCTTGGGCTGCCAACCGTGGACGATGATGAGAAGATAGATATGGCCAGCGCCGGACCAGATTTGTGTAATCTGAAATAGTCTGTTCGGCGCAAATGGTCGAAGTCCGTACGAGCATTCCGACTGCTCCAGCAATGCCTCAATTGGTCGGCTCGGTCGGGTTGAGGGTGAGTTCTTTGAGGAATGTGTTGTTCGGTTAAGCCTGTCGAGGCCTAATTTTCGTCGTTCGCAAATCTCATTGGCTCTACATGAGAGCTCATCCCTTGAGAATAGTCCGCTCGCAGTGCCAGTTTTCTTCTATGCTCCCAGAGCTGCAATATCGCCGACCAGTAACAACGCCCATGCTTGACAACCCGTAATCGCGTTGGTGTCTAGAAACACCGCATCTTCTGCGTGAACTCCCCGAAGTTCAGAATAATGTCCGTATAGTTTTGGGACCTCCCCGGTTACTGTGCTTGCGAGAACGTCACAGAAAATGAGGACGCTGGAATAAAATTGAAACGCCCCCAGCTCGACATAGATCGGTACAGATGCAGACTTAATGACCTGAAGAGCAGCCTTCAAACCAGCCGACAGACTGGTTTCTCGCTTGCAGCGGTCGATAATTTGCTCGTGGAAACTGACAGCAGCACCGAAGTGCGTTTGCCACTTGGTGGAGGTCGGGACTTGGACGTCAAAAATGAGAAGCTGGACAATTGTTGCCAGGAGCGTGAGGTTGTCTGATAAGGAGCTACCAATCCTGTCAGGAACAAGACTCTGGATATCCTTTCGAACCTGGCTCAGGGCTTGAGTGGATTGTTCGCGAACCATGTCCCATGCCGTCGAAGTACATTCGCGGTGCCCGGGACCGTGCTCTACTGGGATGACAGAGAAAAAGTATGAAGAGAGGCTGATGATAGAGTTGGAAAAACTCTGGCTTGGCATTGCCAGTGCAAGGACCCATGATCGCCCACCTTCCAACACCGAAGGCCGGTACAAGGGATATAAGAGAGGAAACACGTAGTCTATGTACGTCATGATGAAACCTATGTGCATCACGGATAACTCAGCTCCACTGAACTCTCTCGGGTTTTGTAAATCGATGACATTGTGACGGCCTTGTGCTGGGGGTCCTCCATAGGAATGCATATCAGAGGAGGTTGGAGGATTGTTGAATTCTCTGCTGCATTGATTGTCTCGGCCCTCTGGTGCCGGCCCTATAGGAGGACGATGCTGGGTCAAGTTTCCGCCATGAGCATCATCCCGTGATGGCGGCGAAGTGAAGAGTTGCGCCGGGCTTGATATACCCGCAATGCCGGCAGCGATATGCCCCATCTTGGCAAGCCCTCGACGCCGCTTTGCGCTTTGTGCGACCTCGGTCTTCAGCTGCTGGGAAACTTGTTGCTGTTTGAGACCGTTGTCCATCCAGGCCGGACGTTCTTGGGTGAAGTGGCACGTGATTTCCAACTCGGAGCATGGTGTGCAAATGGGCCACTGCTCATCGCACCGCTTATGGCGGAGCCGGCAGGTCCAACAAGCGGACTTCTTGCTAGAGTCTTGATTGGACATTTTAGGTAATCCGGTCTGGGATAAAATGGCAAAGTTCCAGAGTTGCAGGTCGTCAGTGTTGCGAGGATGTGGAATGGACCTATCCCTATATTATACACTTCTACAGGCAATAGAAAGAATAAAAAGAAAATAAAAATAAGGCCGGTACGGAGAGTATATAGAGTTGGATCCGCTTAAGCTGGCTATCTACTTTGCAAAGTGTATATCGATGCTATTAATTTATTGTGGAATTTAAAGGTGCAGAATCTACCTTGGTTTTTTTCCCTCTAAGTCCCCGCCGTGCCCTTCTTGGGCCGCTGCCCCAACCCGGACTCTAGACGGAGCTCTGATAACATAACAGGGTTTGAAACGCGAATAAGATACCTTTAAAGTATTGCGTTAATAAAAGAGGGCTTTAAATAGCTTTGGTTCCTTATATATTCAGCTGTGTCTAGTTTTTTAGTGTGAAAGATGTCCAAAGTTATCCTTTCTGAGACGAAATATTTACGTGCTCCTTAACAACTTCCAACTGAACGTCCACTGAAATCTGAACCCAATTTCCATACTATATACGGAGGTCCATTTCAAAAGTCTTTGCTCGCGCCCAAGCCACACATTGCTTTTTCCTAGGTAATATACATTAAGTACATTGAGCGTAGGCCAGTGCGCTAAGAAGCTCTATATTCTAGCGACTCAAGCCCGCTAAGTTGTACTTGCCTCACCCCTGAAGCCACTAAAGTGATAGTTGTCATCAGCGGGCAATCACCTGTAGCTACATTACGTCTTATGTACTGTCAAGTACCTGACAGGGATTAAAGGATGTGGCGTCCTTAGCGTGAGCAAAGACTTTTGAAATGGACCTCCGTATATATGGGCGTGTGGGCAGTTGTGTTTTAGTGGGCTGTGGTGGTGTGTGTGGGGGGCGACAGCTAGCAGGCATTTGTTGAGCTCACAGCCGCCTGGGAAATCTTGCGAGCTCGGTTCTGGCCGGGGGCGACGCCGCTAGCAGTGTCGCGACGATTGCGGGGACGTGACGACGACGTCGAGGTCTGGTGTAGTTTCTGCTGGTGACGTAGAGGCAGATCGCGGCGGGGGAAGCATCGTGCGCATTCGGGACACTCGAAGGGTTTCTCCTTGGTGTGGGAGCGCTCGTGTCGCTTGAGATGTTCTAATCGGGCGAAGGAGCGCTGACAGGTGCCGTAAACGTGCGGGCGAGGCTTGTCCGTCTTGGGAGGAGGAAAATTGGCCGGCGCCTTCGTGTTAGCAGTGATTGTGGACGCTGGAATGGCCAGGTGCGGGTCGGGCTGAGGAACATGAGGGGCAGTGCCGGCCACAGCAGGATTGCTCACCAGAGTCGTCGGCGGTGGAGGACGCGCTGCCGACGGCTGCGTTGGACGAAAGGGGATTGGACATGGTGGTTGAAGAGCGTGAGACCCTGACGCCAGAGTCGTTTAATC